GGCATGACATCCCATGGCATGGCATGGCATGAAATGGCACGGCATGACATCCCATGGCATGGCATGGCATGAAATGGCACGGCATGACATCCCATGGCACGGCATGGCATCCCATGGCATGGCATGGCATGAAATGGCACGGCATGACATCCCATGGCATGGCATGGCATGACATGGCATGGCACTGCATGGCGTGGTATCACGCGGATGGCGTGTCATGGCATGAGAGCAGAACGAGGTGGAGGAGTCACTAGATGAATTCGAGGCTGCATTGGAGCTCGACCCCTCCCAAATCCCCTGTAAGCGACCGTCCTCTGAAAGGCGTGCTCACTTCGAAGCCGACTTACAATTCACTTACCTGGATTCATGGCCGTTTTGATGCTCGACCTCTTTCCAATCCCCTTACGTAGCTTCTGTAAAAGGCCGAGGCTTCACGAGCAAAATCATGCCAATTATTGACTTACTATACCATTCTCCTTTGAGACGCCTCAATTCTCGATCATGTAGCGGCTCGTTTGTGTGTGTACTGATACTGCCCGGCTTTCCTCTTTCCATCCCAACCACTGCCAAGCAGATCTATGGCAGAGAGGACTTTCGCTCTTCTACCTCAACAGGTCCGTCCTAATATAGAATACTTGTGACTGGCGTGTGCTGGCATGGGCCTACATACAATGGTTCATGCCATGCCGTCCTCTGCCAAGCAGACCTATGGCAGAAAGGACTTTCGCTTTTCTACCTCAATAGGTTTGTCTCGGTTGCCTGTGTATGGCTGGTGTGTGCTGTGCTGTCTGCACTGAATGTCACCTTTTGCTCGTTTATCCATTTGTCATGACACTGGATTTCCGACAAGACAAATTTCCCCTTTCCACGGTTTTCTCAAGAGACTAAGTTGTATGCCTTCTCAACGTTCCCATATTCTCCTGCCTTGGTGTGTCAGATTTGCAGAAGCTTCGCAGCAGTTTCGTGCCTGCATTGCAGCAAACTCAAGAGACGCTGAAGAGGTGAGAAGAACAGCTTCAGTAAATCTCCTCAGTTTCAGAAGCACCTATTCTTCCAAGCAACTGTTTGTCCCATGCACATTCTCATGCCCAAGACCGTACCCATGCACATGCCAGTGCCCATGCCCTTCCCCTTACTTCCACCTTCGCATTCTCCCCCTTCCCTTCTTGCCAGTCCTTGCTGCTTTGATTTGCAAGATGTCTGGTGCTTTGTATTGTGGATTGTCTGGCGTTTTGTACTTCGAGTGGCTAATGCTTTTTGTCAAACCTGTTCTCTTCTGTTGCCCTTCCCGCCAGTCCATCTGGTGCTTTGTCTCTGAGGCCAGGGCAAATGGTGTGGACTCAGCCCAAGAAAGCATGCCAGAGGTGGGTGTCCCACGTGTCTTTCATGATAAGTACACATATATCTATATATATAACTATATATATACATAGCTTTCAGTCGCCTCAAAGTCGTCTCTGTTTAAGAGGCCAGGGCGAATGGTGTGGACTCAGCCTGAGAAAGCATGCTAGAGGTGGGTATCTCACTTGATAGGAAATCGGTTTCTTCCAGGCGCCTCAAAAGTCGCAAAAGTGCCTCAAAAGTCGCAAAAGTGCCTCCAAAGTCGCAAAAGTGCCTCAAAAGTCGCAAAAGTGCCTCGAAAGTCGCAAAAGTGCCTCAAAAGTCGTAAAAGTGCCTCAACAGTCGTAAAAGTGCCTCAAAAGTCATAAAAGTGCCTCAAAAGTCGCAAAAGTGCCTCAAAAGTCATGAAAGTGCCTCAGAAGTCAACCAGGTGCAGAAAATCGCTAGAGGTGGCTTTTCCCCTCGTCTTTCTCTACTTGAGGGTTCTCTAATTTCAGCCACTTCATTTGACTGGGCAAAATTATTTTCCCAGTCCTGTCTTCACACGCCTATGTTCTGGGACGTGTAAGGATTCGAGACGTCTCGAAACCCGTCTTGCTTTACTTGGGTGGGGACTCTCAGCTGCCTATCCCATCATCTCGCCACACACTCCTCCTGCTCCCCTTGCTCAGGTGCCTCGAGACCCAGGGAAGGTGCTACGAGCAGCGTATGACATGTTCAAAACGGGAGCTGACCCCTTGCAGGTAATCTCGTGCAGTGCAACTAATCCCTTGAGGCTGATCTCTCTGGTCCCTCCCTCTCGCACCCCTCCCACCTCCCCACCTCCCACTCGTGACTCACCTCGCTCCTGCTTCACCTTGCAGGTAATCTCGTGCAGTGCAGCTAATCCCTTGAGGCTGATCTCTCTGGTCCCTTCCTCTCGCACCCCTCCCACCTCCCCACCTCCACACTTCCCAGTCATGTCTCACTTCGCACTTGCTTCTTCCTCCATTCCTCCGCACTCTAAGTGGTAGACGCTTACATGCCACGTTACAGTGTTCTCAATCCAGCGTTCACACACATATGGGGCGTGGCATGGCAAATGGAGTGCCATGGCGTGGTACTGGACATGACATGATGCGGATGGCATGGCATGGCATGGTATGGAACCAAATGGAACTGATGGCATGGCATGTGGAGACACAGGTGTTGGCAGCAGCAGGGGATGACGAGGGGGGGTCATCAGCCTTCTATGCTCGGTTATACGTCGGCCTCTTCTTTGAAATCATGGTACTGTTTTTTGAGGCGCCTCAGAAGGTGATTTTTTAGGCGCCTCGAAAGGTGATTTTTTAGGCGCCTCAAAAGGTGATTTTTTAGGCGCCTCAAAACGTGATTTCTTAGGCGCCTCAAAAGGTGATATTTTAGGCGCCTCAAAAGGTGATATTTTAGGCGCCTCAAAAGGTGATTTTTTAGGCGCCTCAAAAGGTGATTTTTTAGCGCCTCAAAAGGTGATTTTTTAGGCGCCTCAAAAGGTGATTTTTTAGGCGCCTCAAAAGGTGATATTTTAGGCGCCTCAAAAGGTGATTTTTTAGGCGCCTCAAAAGGTGATTTTTTAGGCGCCTCAAAAGGTGATATTTTAGGCGCCTCACAGATAGCCTTCTATGCTCGGTTATGTGCTGGCCTCTTCTTTGAAATCATGGTACTGTTCATGTCATAAGGATGTTTCGAGTCTAACAATTATTGTAGGTCTAACAGTCATGACAGCTTGTGAACTTCGTTTCTATGTGCCCATGTGTGCATGTGCCCATGTGTGCATGTACCCATGTGTGCATGTACCCACGTGTGCATGTTCCCATGTGTGCATGTACCCATGTGCGCATGTGCATATGTGTGCATGTACCCATGTGTGCATGTGCTTATGTGTGCATGTGCTTATGTGTGCATGTGCTTATGTATGCATGTGCTTATGTGTGCATGTGCCCGCGTATCCATGGGCTCATGCCCAGCATGTATTTGGCCTCTCCCTCACTCTACGACTCCCTCCCCCACACACACGCACTCACTCACTCTCGTACTCACTCTCAACTCTCTCCTTCTCCCACTGGCCCTTCAGGGGGATGAGGCCACAAGTCGGAAGTACATCCAATCAGCAGCTGCCACGGAATACGCCTGCAGGTAACCCATTTACCTTGGTTGCGAAACTCCACTCACCTGCCTTGCACTGCCGGTTGCGAAACCCCACTCACCCCATTCCACACAAACTGCCTGATGGCACGGCAGCAGTGGCATTGCCCTCTCAACTCATCAACCCAAAACTCACCTTGTTGCAATGGCGCATGACATGATGATACCGTTCCACTCCTTCCCTCAACAGTTCCCAAGCTGATCGTCTAACTACATGGCAGCAGTGGTGCCAGCGCATTGTTTGAGACGCCAGTCGCAAATCCTGCTTTTTCTTTTCCCTTGCTTGCACTGCTCTAGCGCCTTCGTGTAGATAGGTTGTTTTTGAGACGTCTCAAAAATAACCTATCTACACGTGGCTCCTTGCTTGCACTGCTCTAATGCCTTCGTTCCACCTTCGTCTGTTTCCCCCTCCTCCTCCTCGTTCAACCCATCCAAGAGAGTCGCTTTTGAGGATTCTCAAAAGAGATTCAACCCGTCCAGCACGGGTTGTCTGACTACATGGCAGCAGTGACGCGAGTGCATTGTTGCAACAGCAGTGTCGAACATTGCTCTACCCTTCCTCCCTCTTTCACCTCTCCTCGTCCTTCTCTTCCCTCACCCTGTTCCATCACAGATCGTCAGGCTACATGGCAGCAGTGGCACGAGTGCATTGCTTGAGACGCCAGTGGGAAACTCTGCTTACCCTTCCAGCCTCCTTCCCCTTTCCCTGTCCTCTTCATTCACCCTGTTCCATCACAGATCGTCAGGCTACATGGCAGCAGTGGCACGAGTGCATTGCTTGAGAAGCCAGAGGTGGCAAACCCACCTCACCCTTGCACTGCTCGAGTGCCTTCTTCCCTCCTTCCCCTCTCTCTGTCCTCTTCATTCACCCTGTTCCTTGCAGATCATCAGACTACATGGCAGCAGTGGCACGAGTGCATTGCTTGAGACGCCAGTGGCCACTCCCTCCCTCCACTTTCGACGATTAATCTCTTCCGAGTCCCATCGGAGCTGCCTGCTCAACCTGCGAGTAGACTCATGCACCCGCTACCCTCTACCTCTACTCCAGTCGATCAGTGATTGTCGACTCTAAACATCTGTTTTACATTATTAAATGCGTCCGAGCCGAGCCCGACTCTCAAGTCGTGTTCTTTCCACTCTAGGAAGCATCAAGCTTCCAAGAATCTGGGAAAGATGGCATATCAAGGAACGCACCAGAAGAAGTTGAAACATCTATGACTGCATTGCATTACTGGTTCATCTATATGCACACATGATTGGGATAGTCAACAACAGTCCCTTGTATAATCTCACGATACACTCAAGAGAAGCAAAACGTATAACGCGGCGTTTTGTCCGTACTCGCACATTGAACAAAACCGCGTCAAGCCAAGCTCTGCTCCTGCGCTAAGTACTTATGTTGGCTGGTCCAGCTCATTACTTTGGTAGCCTGTTGTGACTCACGAGCCTTATAGTGAGCCTCTCACTACAGTGAGTCAATAAGCCTTATGAATAATCTATCCAAAGTAGTCAGGCTCATTCCCGGGCGCCCACTTTATGTTGCAGCCGATGCTGCACAAAGACGATGAAGGATAGTCAGGGAAACAAAAGATGGTATTGCAGAACAATCAAGCAGGGTTTTTGCAATCGAGTCAGCCAAAGAAGGGTAACCACGAACAACCACATGGGAATTTAGATTAGACCCCCATCTAGTAAATAATGCCTTACCTGGGCTTCTAAGTGCTGGGGACAGGTCACGCAGAGAGCACACAGTCGAGAGCACGTGTTTTGAGCCTGTGTTTTGAGGCGCCTCAGAATAATCAAGTTTTGAGACGTTTCGAAACCGGGTAACCGGTTGGGGTTCTAGACCCTAGTCCGTATTGCCATCGAGAACCTCACCTCGGCTTTTGATCGCTGGCGACTGGCCTGCCTCCTTGGGGGCAGGCATCACCTTTGGGGGACTGGCGTGCCTGTGACTGGGTAAAGGCAACCTTACCTGGGCTTCTGACCGCTGGGGACCGGTCGAGCGGACAGCACGCAGTCTAGGGCAGCACGCAAGTCCTTCCCGGTGACCTGGCGGCCGTTGGAGGGGCGGGAGTCGTCCAGCTGGCAGTGGTATGCCAGCTCAGATGGGGGTCCTTGCTGGTGAGCAGAGAACGACCCCAAAGTCAAGGCTTTGAGTGGGTAAAGGCAAGCTCACCTGGGCCTTTGAGCACTGGAAACGGGTCTTGCCGACAGCACACAATTTACAGCAGCACGCAGGTCCTTGCTGGTGACAGGGCGGCCGTTGGAGGGGTGATGAGTGGGCTCTTAGACCCCTACCTACCTTGCTACCGGACAGCTTACCTGGGCCTCTGGGCACTGGAAACGGGTCTTGCCGACAGCACACAGTCTAGAGCAGCACGCAGGTCCTTGGTGGTGAGCAGAGAACGATCCCAAACGTAAAGGTGGGTAAAGGCAAGCTCACCTGGGCCTTTGAGCACTGGGGACCGGTCGTGCAGCGAGCACACAATCCAGTGCAGCACGCAAGTCTTTCCTGGTGACTGGGCGGCCATTAGAGGGGAGCAAGTCGTCCAGGTGGCCGTGGTATGCCCTTGGGTTTGCATTGCCATCAAGAAGCTCACCTGGGCCTTTGCGCACTGGGGACCGGTCGTGCAGAGAGCACGCAGTCGAGAGCAGCACGCAGGTCCTTGCCGGTGACCGGGCGGCCGTTGTTGGGGCGGGAGTCGTCCAGCTGGCCGTGGTATGCGAGCTCAAAGGGGCGGCGGCCGTCCTTTTTGAAGAGAAAGAAGTCTGGCGTGCAGGCAGCGTGATAGGCCTTGGCCACCTCCTGAGTCTGGTGGAAGGGTAGGAGAGAGGGGAGAACGGCCGTCCTTCTTGAAGAGAAAGAAGTCCGGCGTGCAGGCAGCATGGTAGGCCTTGGCCACCTCTTGCGTCTGATAGATGGGCAAGAGATACGGGGGGAGGGGAGGTGGGGAGGGCATGGGGCATAGAGGGCTATGAGGTGTGCCCGTGGTATGCCAGCTCAAACGGGCGGCGGCCGTCCTTTTTGAAGAGAAAGACTTTGGGCGTGCAGGCAGCATGATACGCCTTGGCCACTTCTTGAGTCTGCAGGGTGGGGTTTTGCAGGGGAAAGGAGGTCGGGTGATCGGGAAGGACAGCCATCCTTTTTGAAAGAGGAAGAAGTCTGGAGTGCAGGCAGCATGGTACGCCTTGGCCACCTCTTGAGTCTGATAGATGGGGGAGAGTGGGATTGGAAAGGTTGATTGGTAAGGGAAAGGTAAAGGTAAGAAAACCTTGTCGAGCTGGCCGTGGTATGCAAGCTCGAACGGGCGGCGGCCGTCCTTGTTGAAGTGAAAGAAGTCTGGCGTGCAGGCAGCGTGATGGCGCGGCAGGGGCAAGACACATGAGGTTTAGGGCGGGGGAAGATGAGTGGGTTAAAGGCCATGGGACTCACATTATTATAGAGGTAGGGGACGGGGAAGCTGAGCTGCCTGAATTAAGCGGATTCGCAGCACAGCAGGACAAGCAACAGATCGCCGGTATGGGGCGCACCTTTCCTGCAGTACAGTACCTTTCTAAAGTTTTTTTTTAGGCGCCTCAAAAGTCTTTCTTGCAGTACAGTACCTTTCTAAAGTTTTTTTTTAGGCGCCTCAAAAGTCTTTCTTGCAGTACAGTACCTTTCTGAAGTTTTTTTTGAGGGGCCTCAAAAGTCTTTCTTGCAGTACAGTACCTTTCTGAAGTTTTTTTTGAGGCGCCTCAAAAGTCTTTCTTGCAGTACAGTACCTTTCTGAAGTTTTTTTTGAGGCGCCTCAAAAGTCTTTCTTGCAGTACAGTACCTTTCTAAAGTTTTTTTTGAGGCGCCTCAAAAGTCTTTCTTGCAGTACAGTACCTTTCTAAAGTTTTTTTTGAGGCGCCTCAAAAGTCTTTCTTGCAGTACAGTACCTTTCTGAAGTTTTTTTTGAGGTGCCTCAAAAGTCTTTCTTGCAGTACAGTACCTTTCTAAAGTTTTTTTTGAGGCGCCTCAAAAGTCTTTCTTGCAGTACAGTACCTTTCTAAAGTTTTTTTTGAGGCGCCTCAAAAGTCTTTCTTGCAGTACAGTACCTTTCTAAAGTTTCTTTTGAGGCGCCTCAAAAGTCTTTCTTGCAGTGCAGTACCTTTCTGAAGTTTTTTTTGAGGCGCCTCAAAAGTCTTTCTTGCAGTACAGTACCTTTCTAAAGTTTTTTTTGAGGCGCCTCAAAAGTCTTTCTTGCAGTACAGTACCTTTCTAAAGTTTTTTTTGAGGCGCCTCAAAAGTCTTTCTTGCAGTACAGTACCTTTCTAAAGTTTTTTTTGAGGCGCCTCAAAAGTCTTTCTTGCAGTACAGTACCTTTCTGAAGTTCCCAAAAAGCGAAGCGTGAAACCCACCCCATCATAGAGGTAGGGGAACGGGAAGCTGAAGTGCTTGGTGGTCACAGAAGACTCAGGTTCAACTGCCACTTAGTGAGATGAACTGTAGGGGAACGGGAAGCTGAACTGCTAGATTCTAAAAAACACTCAGGTTAAACAGCCACTTTGTGAGATGAACTGTCAGATGAAGGGTGGGTGAGACGCACCTCGTCATAGAGGTAGGGAAAGGGGAAGTTGAACTGCTTGGCTTCCTCTGCCATTTTATCGGGTCCGTCCTGATGCGGGATAGAGGGAGGAGAGGGGTGCAGCAGAGGGGACGTGGAGACAGGAGGAAAGAGGAAATTGAAAAGCAGAAGGGGAAGTTGAACTGCTTGGCTTCCTCTGCCATTCTGTCAGGTCCGTCCTGTTGTTGAGTAGAATGCATAGAGGGGAGATTGAGGAGCATAAGAACGCAAGTTGAGAGACAAAGAGTGGTGACCTGGTTCACGGTCATTCGAGGAACGACTGACACGTCATCTCGAGGCTATTGTGAAGCATGGTGCGTCATAGCATTCTGTATTCACGACCATCACAACTTTCGGTAGGTTGCACGGCTTACCTGAGGGTGGGTGAGCACCGAGTTGGACGAGATTGCAACCACTGCCAGCCCATGCTGCATGGAAGATGTATGGGGAGCAACAAGAGAAAGGGCGGGAAGCAAGCAAGGGGAAGGAGCAGCCGAGTGGGTGTGGGGGCCGAGTGGGACGAGTTGGCATGGCAACCACTCCTAGCCCATGCTGGAGAGAATTGGAGGCGAGAGGACGTGTGGAAGAGTAACTCGGACATGTAACTTGGAGATGTAACTTGAAGATGTAGCTCAAAAGTGTACCTTGGAAATGTACTCGTTGCCAAGAGCAACAAGTTGCGACTTGATATGAACCACGAACGGGCAATGGTTGCAGATGAACATGACCTGACAGTGTCCGGTTTGAGAAGGTGGGGAAGGGGTAAAGAGGGGTGGAAGACGGTGGAGGGGGGAGGGGGAAGTGGAATAGGAAGGAAATGAGTCTGTATGAACCACAAAAGGGCATTGATTCCGGAGGAGATGACTTGGGAGGCGCGGTGTTCACAAGGAGGAGGAATTGGACTGAGAGGGGAGAAGGTGTGCTCATTAACCATAGCTACCCAAAAGAAGGATCTTGAGAATTTTCAAAAGGGGCTCACTAAACCATTGCTACTCAAAAGGAGGTGGCATTACGAGGAGGGCCGGGTGGCCGTCAAAGTCGGAGGAGGGAGAGGGGTGGGAGAGAGGGTTGGGAGAGAGAAGGAGGGGAAGAGAAGGAGGCGGGGAGAAATGGGAAGGAGGAAAGGAGAAGGACTTACGAGGAGAGCCGGGTGGCCGTCAAAGTCGGAGAGAGACCATGTCTTGCCGGTCAGCGGCTCCACTAGCTGGTACATTATGCACATAGGTATTGTCACATCGCGAGTACAGTCACACGGGGATACAATCACACACGCATGTAAAGTCGGAGAGTGCACGCGCGCGTCAGCAATCGGGGCATGTCTCTCGCATGCCTTGCTGCCTCCTGTGCATAGGACCATAAAATAATAGCTGCAGGATTCAGCTGCATCGCTCGACATTCGATACAAACTGCATCTGCAAATTTCTATATGAGTTACTAAATCGTTAGTGTGTGTACTTGAAGAAGAGCAATCTATTCGTCCTAGCTGGTAACTTACCGTGAAATCCGGCGCTCGGGTGCCTAAAGCGAGAGGCTGCGACTCGGCGAGCACCATTCTCACCCCCAACGCGCCGCCACTCCCCGCGGTGCGCGAGCCTGCTCCGGCTGTAGCGCAGCTACCGGCTGTCGCGCGCTGCGACGCGAGCAGAGCGCGCGAATCGGGTAACCCGAAAACACGCGACGCTGCGAATCCGACTGTAGCGCTAAATCCGGCGGCTGCAGCGGGAGCGCGATTTGCGGGAACCTTTACGACGAGAGAGGCCGTAGGGGAAACGACTTGGCGGGAAACGCGAGGAGAGTGATATGTGGCAGCGCGTCGAATGGGGACGTGGTGGTGAGGGGCCGCGGAGATGTGGCGCGGAAGCGCAAGCACCATTCTCGGCGCCGCGAGGCCGTGATTTGCGGAGAGATTCGTAAGCGTTGCGTGTTGCTGATTTCAAGTCTGTCGCACTGTCAGTCAGTTATCTTGCCTGTCGTCAACCGAAGATTCGTGAATCTCGATGGCCACGAAAGGAGAACGACTGGCATGCGAAAGGGGCCGATGAATCGAACCTTGAGAATGTTCTGGGTGCGATTTCCTTGTGATTTTGGAATACACGCGTTTTGACAACTATATCGGCTTCGTTAAACCGAACAATCTGAATGACCAACATAATTTCCCTTCATGATTCAGCCTATACTGTACATACTAGCAGCGCATGGATTCTCTTCATTGAGTGAGAATATACAACGGAACATTACTCTAGTTACATCATCACGCTTATTAAAACTGATGTCGGCATCATCTTGGTCTTATTTTCATTGTTGTGCACAAGTTGCCAGCAGGAGTGCTATACAATACACGGTGAACTGAGCAACGCGACGGGGGGGTGCAGGGAAAATCCAAAGCCATGCGAGCATGCACACACAAACTGACAGACAGACACACACACGCACACACGCACGCGCCCACACATATACACACCAACACACACATACGCACACCCACACACACACACACTACACACACACACACACACACACACACACACACACACACACACACACACACACACACCACAAAGATCCAGCCATGTAGATTGGTCGAGCCACGGTGTCAGAGATAATTTCATAATCCAGCACTCTCTTCTTTGAGTGATGGCTGCAAGTGGTTAGATACCGTATGTGTGTTGTGAGCAGCTTCTTGACATGCAGCATTAGGTAAATACGGGCTCATGAGATGCATGGATATCTTGAGCATGCGCTCAGCTGCTGGTGTTGCCAGAGCAGAAAGCTCTGCAATGAACCGCTCTGACCAACAGCTTGATGGGGAGGTAACGTGAAAGCACTTGAAATGATGCTGTCGTCAAAACTATCAACGAATCATGACACGGCTATTGGCAAAATGGCATGCCGTCTATTTTAGCCACACACATCCGAATCCTATTCAGTATATCAAATCAGGGGAAACACGCCTGAAGCCGAGTGGCTAACTAGCGTGGCCCAAGTTAAGGAGTTCTTATCCTACGTGTGAAACCACCTAATTGCGGGGAGATCGAAGACTCTCCGCGACGTCTGCCTTAGGGTTATCATTTGTGTCATTCTAACTGCCAGGCGCCTTGGCCTTGTTCTTCTCCTCCCACTGCTTGCGGTGGCCGGGAGGAAGCACAGTTGCGCCAGTGCCCTTGCGGATCTGTCCGCGCACGGCGCCCGCGGGGAACGCCGGGGTCGACACAACCACGTAGAATTTCTCGGGGTTCACCATCACTTTCGCGAACGCCGTCGAAAGCGCTTCGCCAGACGCCGTTTTCATGTTGGCGACGTCTTCCCACACGCCGGTCGTCGCATAGCTCAGATAGTTCTCCGCGGGGTTCGCGGAAGCCGCAGCGCTAATGCCCGTGGTGTTCACCCATTTCGCTCCCGCGAAGCTGATCACCGCCGGCCCCGTCGCGTCGCTGGCGGCCATGTTGATCGTCGCGCCAGTGGGCAGTCCCGCGACGGACAGCTTCCGCACGGCGACGATATACTTGATGTTCACCACCGGGCCGTTCTTATACACCGTCATGATCACGTTGCCCGCCGCGTTCGCGTCGCCGGGCGCGGCGCCCACGACAGACGATCCGCGGAGAACGGTTCCCACCTGCATCACCTCGCGCCCCAGCGGCTTCCCCTTGTGCTGTGCTCCCCCGGGGACCGGCGCGGGGTGCGTCTTGGGCGCTCCTGCGCCGCCTGCTGCGCCCTGCTTGGGCGTTCCAGGGCCCTGCTGCTTTCCGCCGGCGGGAGCGACCTTACCGCCGGGGGCCTTCCCCTTGGGGGTGGGCGCGGTCGTCGTGGGCACTACGGGGCTGCTCGCTTTCGCGTTCGGCGCGACGGCGATGCTCGCGAGCTTGGGAGTTCCGGGGAGGGGGGTGGTTTCCACTGTCTGCGGCTCCACTGCCGGGACTGCGGGGTCCGCTTCTTGTAGTTTTCGGGCGTCTGCCGCTAGGCCTGAAGGACAGAAAAAGGGTGGAGAAGGAGGAATAAGAGTCATACGGGAGCTACATGGAATACCACACACTTAATCGGTGTTTCAATGAGGCGAGAGAACAACTTGAAATTAGGAATGTTGGGAGAGAAGTCCTTACATGACAAGGCGAGAATCGCCAAGAGCGCGGAGAGGAAGCGAGTTGTCGACATTGCGTCAAGTGGTCGAGAGGGAGAATGGAACGCTCGTAACTGGAAAACTTCGAGCCAGCAGGTTGTAGGGTTGTGTGGAGTTGTAGAGATGTAGAGAATGAAGCTGCGATGTGGATTGAAGTTGTCGGAAGCTGAATGATTGGTGAGTGAGAATGATGAGCAAGTCTAGGGTTTTGTAGTTGTGTCTCAACCCGTGTCGCAACGTTGGGGAGGGAAAAGTCTGGAGCCAAACCGCGACATTGGAAGGTCGAGAAATGCGGCTCGACAGAGTCCATGCAAGCAAAGCAAATTCACCGATCTACGGAAGAGAGAGCGGGTAACTGGGGTCGGTGTTCTGGCCTCCCGGCCCGGGCAGATATTTGTGCGCGAAGTTTTTCGTCACCGACTGAGAGCAAGAGTGGGCAAGGTGACTGGTATCCCGTTTGACGTATTTCTTCGCACCGTCCATTTTGCTGCTGAGCGGTCTGTGACGAAATCGTCGGCGAACGCAGATCCGTCGGTATTATCGAGTAACTTGAACGGCTACACCTTCGTCCAGCTCTACGGGGGAACGTTTGATTGAACCTCCCTCCCACAGGTTTGTTCTGGAACAGTTTCCGTTGGCTGAAAAACGTTGGCCGGAGGATTTGACTGCTATGGACCCGTTGGAGGGTCTGACGACAAATTTTCCGTCAATCTCCTCTGCCCTGCGTCAAACTTGGAGCGAGCAGGAGCACCGAGAGTTTCCGTCAGCTTCTGACAACTTTGGAAGGGGGAAATTCCTCAAGTGTTATACACCACAGCGAAAATTCCTCATATTTTGAAAATTGACCGCTCAATCACCGAATCCCGCTACACTCTCAACGAACCGCATTTCCGAAAATTCAAATGTCGCGGTTCGTGAAAAACGACTTCCCATCCCAACCCAAACTTTCACATGCCACAACACCAAAACATTCGCAGAGATTCCCATAAAAGCGTCCACCTTCTCACCTTTTCCCAACAGTTCACTCGTTCCTCTCTCCAATTCCAGGCCTTCAACACTCAATCGAAATTCCACGAAAAAGGTCTCCGAATCAGAGTACATTCAAGTAGTCGAGCACTAGTGTTCGCAAACCACTTCCCGAAACAATGTCGACCACTCGCTTCCTGACAGCGCTTCTGGCGATTCTCGCCATCTCATGTAAGTCTTCACTACCTGTAAACATCCGAAGTCCTGGCGCATTTCTGCCTCGTTCACTTCACAAAATCCAACCACTCTGTCAATTCTTTCAGATGTATCCTCCTCCAGATTCGACAAGTATTCCCTTCCCTCAAATCTAATCTAACGCTGCTCCCCTTCCCTTCCTCCATTTTTCAGGCCTAGCAGTAGACGCTCGAAAGCTCCAAGAAGCGACCCCCGCCGTGCCCGCGGTGGAGCCGCAGACGGTGGAAGACACCCCCCTCCCCGGAACTGCCGCGCGCACCGCGAAGATCGCCAGCATCGCCGCCGCGCCGAACGCGAAAGCCACCAGCCCCGTAGTGACGACCGCGCCCACCCCCAAGGGAAAGACCCCCGGCGGAACGCAGAAGGGCCCTGGCGCGCCCAAGCAGAGCACAGCAGGCGGCGCAGGCGCACTCCGCGGACCGCCCAAGGCGCACCCCGCGCCGGTCTCCGGGGGGGCGGAGCACAAGGGGAAGCCGCTGGGGCGCGAGGTGATGCAGGTGGGCACCGTTCTCCGCGGGTCGTCCGTCGTTGGCGCCGCACCCGGCGACGCGAACGCGGCGGGCAACGCGATCATGACGGTGTATAAGAACGGCAAAGTGGTGAACATCAAGTATATCGTCTCCGTGCGGAAGCTGTCTGTCGCGGGTCTGCCCACCGGCGCGACGATCAACATGGCCGCCAGCGATGCGACGGGGCCGGCGGTGATCAGCTTCGCGGGAGCGAAATGGGTGAACACCACGGGCATTAGCTCGAAGAGCGGCGCTGCGTCGACGGAGAATTATCTGAGCTATGCGACGACCGGCGTGTGGGAAGACGTCGCCAACATGAAAACGGCGTCTGGCGAAGCGCTTTCGACGGCGTTCGCGAAAGTGATGGTGAACCCCGAGAAATTCTACGTGGTTGTGTCGACCCCGGCGTTCCCCGCGGGCGCCGTGCGCGGACAGATCCGCAAGGGCACTGGCGCAACTGTGCTTCCTCCCGGCCACCGCAAGCAGTGGGAGGAGAAGAACAAGGCCAAGGTGCCTGGTAGTTAGAATTGACACACAAGCGGACAGTGCATTAGTAGGGATTCGTTTTTGGCTAATGTAGCTGGCATGCCATTTTGCCGAAGCTATAACATGTTGAGTGTAGTTAGTTCTAGTTACAGTTAATTGAGATGGATTCTTCAATTCTTACATATGAACCTGCAAACAGTTAACTAATATTGTTTCTTTGGTACAGGTACCTACAGAACAGAAAACTAAAAACTCTAAACCCTAAAAACTCTACAACAGCCAAGGCAAAACGTACGGTAGCTGTTATACCTGTGCAGCCACACATACCATTCTAATGCATGCTGCTCGAACCGTATCGCTCCTTTTGTAACTTGTTGCCCGCGGAAATCATGGTATAGTACAGTACGCCACACGCAACCAGTATGTCATACATCACCCCATCCTCCTCCCCTCCCCCCCAAAAACCAACACCAATAACACGGGTGACTCGAATCGTGTTATACGGAGGGTTAAACGCGGGGTTTATCGGGGGTTGAAGGCGCAGGCCTGCTCGAAGATGAGCTGGCGGATGCGGGGGATGTCATACTCCTCCTGCTCGAAGCTCAGGTCGTACTGGAAGGGGCTTGGGTGCGGCGGGTCCTGGTTGGCCTTGTGGTAGTGCGCCAGGTACGGGTGGGCCAATGCCTCGTCCACTGTAGGAGGGGAGGGTATGGGCATGTATCACTGAGTGAACAATGGGCATTCAAATGAGGCGGGTCCTGGTTGGACTTGTGATAGTGTGCCAAGAGCCTCGTCCACTGCTGCAGGAGAAAGGGTTGGGGGGAAATGGGGGATCTGGGGGGAGATGGGGAGCTGGGGTGGGTCTTGGTTGGTAGTGTGCCAGGTAGGGGTGCGTCAATGCCTCGTCCACTGTAGGGAGGAGAGATACAGGCAAACAGGGGGAAGTTGAGGGGGTTGGCGGTTGTGAGGAAGGCCCTGGTTGGCCTTGTGGTAGTGCGCCAGGTTTGAGTGGGCCAATGCCTCGTCAACTGCGGTTGGGGAACAGGCAGGGGGAAGATAGGGGACGACGGAGGGAGGTGAGGGAATGCGGCGGGTGCTGGTTGGCCATGTGGTAGTGAGCCGCCCCCTGTGGCAGTGAGCCGCCCCCTGTGGCAGTGAGCCGCCCCCTGTGGTAGTGAGCCGCCCCCTGTGGTAGTGAGCCGCCCCCTGTGGCAGTGAGCCGCCCCATGTGGTAGTGAGTCAGGTACGGGTGGGCCAAAGCCTTGTCCACAGTGGTTGGGGAGGACGCATGAGCAAATGGGGGTAACGGGAAGCCCAGGTGCAGTGGGGAGCGCGGGAGAGGCGGGATGCTTGGAAGAAGATACGCGGAGACGAGAGTTCTGGTTGGGTTTGTTGTGTGGTTGAGTGCGCTAGATGATTGTTGACTTCCCTCAGTATACATGTGGAAGGGCATTCTTATACGTTGACAGAAGGCCTCCTGTGTGATTGCATTCTTTTTTCCAGTCGATCAAGAGCCTCTGGATTCCAATCACTCTGTTAATAGAAACGCACGCACCTGTGATTCTCTTTCTCGGGTCGAACACGAGCATGCGCTGCACCAAGTCAGCTGCGGGTTCCGACAGCTTGGGAAACACGTCCCTGATGTTCCGTGCGGGGAAGCCCTGCAGCTCTGAGAGCAGGAAGGTGCGGGCGGCATCGTTGACTATGAAGGAGGCGTCTTCGGCCGAGGGGGATCCAATCAGCTGCCAGAGGAAAGAATGTGGGGAGACAGCACACAAGAGGGGGGAAGGAGGAACAAGAGAGGGGAATGAAGATCAAGTCGGGCTGGGAGGCGTGAAGAACAAGAGGGGGTCGGAGAGCAGGAAGGTGCAGGCTGTGCCGTTGACTATGGAGGAGGCGTCTTCAGCAGAGGGGGATCCGATGAGCTGGTGGATGGATAAAGGACAGGTGCTGGGAATGAAGAACACAAAGGGGCAAGGGAGGGGAAGCCCTGCAGCTCTGAGAGCAGGAGTGTGCGGGGCAGCATCGTTGACTATGAAGGAGGCGTCCCCTGCAGAGGGGGACCCGATCAGCTGGTGAGTTGGAGCGGGAGGGGGAGAGGTGATGCACAAAAAGAGGAAATGCCTTGCGATCACTCCCCTACTCTCACTACTACCCTCACCCTTCTGCTCTCCCTTCCCAGCTCTCCCTTCCCAGCTCTCCCTTCCCAGCTCTCCCTTCCCAGCTCTCCCTTCCCAGCTCTCCCTTCCCAGCTCTCCCTTCCCAGCTCTCCCTTCCCAGCTCTCCCTTCCCAGCTCTCCCTTCCCTGCTCTCCCTCCCCTGCTCTCCCTCCCCTACTCTCCCTCCCCTACTCTCCCTCCCCTTCTCTCCCTCCCCTACTCTCCCTCCCCTGCTCTCCCTTCCCTACTCTCCCTCCCCTGCTCTCCCTTCCCTACTCTCCCTCCCCTACTATCACTCCTACCCTCTCCTTGAGACGCACCTCGCAGGTCTTGCGGAGCTGGTCCACGTAGTTATCCCCTTTGAGCACAATGTGCCCCAGCACGAGCTCCAGGTAAATCAGAGCCACCGACCACACGTCAATGGACGCACTGTACTGCTGGTTGTTCACCAGCAGCTCGGGCGCGCGGTAGTATCTGGTAACCACGTATTCCGTCAGGTGGTCGGTGGTTTCCACGCGGGTTCGCGCAAGGCCGAAATCGGTGATCTTGATGTTGCAGCGCGCGTCGATGAGGATGTTGGGAGGCTTTAAGTCGCGGTGCAGGATGTTGGCTGAGTGGATGTACTTGGTTCCGCGCAGCAGCTGGAAGAGAATGAACTGGGGGAAGTAAGGGGTCGAAAGGGGAGGGAGGCGGGGAGAAGCAGGGAATATATGAGAAGAGGAAGGACGAGAGGGAAAGGGATGTTGCCTGAGTGGATGTACTTGGTTCCCTGCAGTAGCTGGAAGAGAATGAACTGGAGCCAGGGGGAGAAGATGGAGGGAAGGGGAGAAGCGATGTGAGGGTACAAGATGTGAAGCGTTGGAGGATGTTGGCCGAATGGAGGTACTTGGTGCCTCGCAGCAGCTGGAAGAGGATGAACTGGAGAGAAGAAACGGGGGGAAGGGGAGAGGATAGAAGGAAGGCTAATGGTGATGTCAGGGAATAAGATGTGGAGCGGTGCAGGATGTTGGCTGAGTGGATGTACTTGGTGCTTCGCAGCAGCTGGAAGAGGATGAACTGGAGAGAAGAAACGGGGGAAGGGGAGAGGATAGAAGGAAGGCTAATGGTGATGTCAGGGTATAAGATGTGGAGCGGTGCAGGATGTTGGCTGAGTGGATGTACTTGGTGCTTCGCAGCAGCTGGAAGAGAATGAAATGGAGGCAGGGCGGGAGGATATGCGGCAGGCGAAAAGCAGTGTCAGTGTATGCAGTGTGCAGCGGTGGACGAGGGAATGTGAAGTGGATGTACTTTGTTCCCCGCAGCAGCTGGAAGAGAATGAACTGGAGAGAGGAAGTAGGGTGGAGGTGGGGGTGGGGGTGGGGGAGAGAGAGGGATGGGAGGGAGGTATATCCCTGGCCTATCCCGACCGAATGACCTCGTGTAGGTCCAACGGCATGAGCTCGTACACGATCGCACGCTAAATCTTTTAGTCACACCTTGTAAGAAACTGATCCATACTGGCTCTTTAAGAAACGTTCTAAGCTAGTGCAACACCAGGTTCCTTTCCGCCATCATTTCATGGGGTTTGTTTCTCTGTCCTAAACAGCAAGAGTTGATGGAAATAAGGCCTCCGCAGCCCACCTGTTCACTTTCGAGAGCTCCTAAACCATTGCACGCTCAATCTTGTAGTCGCACCTCGTAGGCCACTCACCATGCAGTGCCACACCACACACACCTTGTAATGCCACACCACACACACACGCACCTTGTAATGCCACACCACACACACACGCACCTTGTAATGCCACACCACACACACACGCACCTTGTAATGCCACACCACACACACACGCACCTTGTAATGCCACACCACACACACACGCACCTTGTAATGCCACACCACACACACACGCACCTTGTAATGCCACACCACACACACACGCGCCTCGTAGTGCCACACCACACGCACGCCCACCTTGTAGTGCCGCTCATCCATGGCTTGTCCCGACTGAATGACCTCGTGGAGGTCTGTAGGCATGAGCTCGTACACAATTGCACATATGCACTTACCGTTAATGCCTGTAGGTTGTAGGCTTGTACCGCCTCCCACACAACCACACCTTGTAGCTTAACACCCCTTGCATTGTAACCCACCTTGTAGTGCCGTTCGTCCATGGCTTGTCCCGACCGAATGACCTCATGCAGGTCAGTGGGCATGAGCTCATACACGATATACACGTCCTGGAAGCTCTGCGGGTTGGGCGGGCGGATGATGTCCTTGATGGCGATCACCTGGGGGTCCAGAGGGAGAGTGGGAGAGGAGCAGGGGGAAGAGAGGGGAGTGAAAGAGGGGGGGGGGAGGGGAAGGGAGCTCATAAACGATATACACGTCCTGAAAGCTCTGGGGGTTGGGCGGGCGGATGATGTCCATGATGGCGATCACCTGGGGGGATGGGGATGATGGAGAGATGGAGAGGTTTAGAGAGTGAGAGAGCAGTTAGTTGGCATGAGTTCGTACACGATATACACGTCCTGGAAGCTCTGCGGGTTGGGCGCACGGATGATTTCCTTGAGAGTGAACTCACATTGGGGTTGTTCATGTTGAGAAGGAGCGACTATGTATGTATGTTTTGTTTTTTGTTTTTTTTTTTTGTGTGTGTGTTTTTTTTTAGTGTGCTCATCCAGATTTGAGTGTATTCACCTAACGAAATAGAGAGAGAGCTCGCTCACATTGGGGTGGTTCATGTTGCGGAGGAGCACAATCTCGCGGAGAGTCCGCTTGGCGTCTGTGCGGTCGTTGAACGCCTTGCCGATCTTCTTGATTGCCACCTCCTCCCCGGTTGTCTCGTCTCGTGCAGAGCTGACCAAAAAGAAAAAGAAGAATATTCTTGTGTGTGGAAAAGAGTAGTGCAGCCCGATGGGAGTCCTTAATGGCTACACTAACTCCTGATTTATAAATCCCATTCCAATTACTCGAATCATACCGCATCAACATTCCACTGACTCGAATCCTACCGCTAACTTCAACATTCCAATGGCTCGCATAATTCAATACCCCTGGCTCACCATACAATGCCGTAGGCGCCTCGGCCAATGGGGACGAGGGGGACGTAGCGTACGGGGACCTCGAAGATGATTCCGTAGAAGCTGTAGCGTCTGTAGCGGCCGTCGTACGTCAGCGTGCCCTCCTTGGGTATTTGCACGCCGTCTGCCCCTTGTGACGCGTCCTCCTGCGTCATCGTCTCGTCCCCCTGCCGTGAAATGGGTTAGATTAGAAGAAATTCGTGAAGCTGTAGCGTCATTAGCGGCCGTCGTACGTCAGCGTGCCCTCCTTGGGTATTTGCACGCCGTCTGCCCCTTGTGACGCTTCCTCCTGCGTCATCGTCTCGTCCCCCTGCCGTGGAATGGATTGAATTAGAAGGGATTCGTGAAGCTGTAGCGTCCGTCGTACGTCAGCGTGCCCTCCTTGGGTATTTGCGACGCGTCGTCCTGATTCATCGTCTCGTCCCCCTGCCGCGAATCATAAAAAGCTAGTGAAATTGACTATTGAGAAGTCCGAAGGCTTGCGACGCGTCTTCCTGAAGCATCGTCTCGTATTTCTGCTGCGAGATCGGACAGGAAATGGATGGTGTGAGAACGACATTTGAGACATGTCAGAGCCTAAAATTGGCATATCAGGGCCGGCATATCAGAATTTGTTCTCTTGGTGCATCGACTCCCTGCCGCGAGATGGATCAGTTAGGAAGGTATGCTGAGATTCTTCGAAAAGAAATCATCCCCATTGTATAAACGTCGCGATTTAGCGGTCAAGATGCTTCCATCTTGCTAGCATAGCAGAGACATTTTTTGAATTCAACTGGAAATGTGCATCTTAGCTCATAACACACACGCTTCTGACAGGATTTTCTCTAGTTGCTTGAATTATAGTAATGATTTAGCGCCCCGGTATACGTCTGCGACTCTTAATACACCTGAAATGCGAGAGGGAATTCATGGGTGACAACATTAGGAAGGGCTAACCTGCGGCCGTAGTAGTTCGGAAGCCATTTTTGAGATGCCGTGAGATCGCAGGACACTTTTGAGTCGACTCAAAAGTCACCTTGCCGTGAGATCGCAGGACAAGGCACAACGACGAGCCTCGCTCTCGTTGGAAAAAGCGGGATGCGAAACGCTGAACCGTCTAGAAGCAATGCAGGTAGATGCTGGATGAAAATACGGCAATGGCGGCCTTCGGTAGAGACTGCTTCGCGAGTAGCTACCCAGAGGAGCAAGTGCTAGCTTACTCGTACGGACAATAAGCAGAAAACTTTGGCTGCAAACACTTTCTCCCTGACTAGCTAGTAACTACCAGCAACCTGCAAGCAAGTCTGGATGCGCGCAAATACGTGAGTCCGAAAAGTCTGGACCTTCTAGTACACGTCTGGCTGAGGGAGATCCTCGCACGGGAAGGCCTATCCTGCCTCGAATCCCGAGAGGGGAGAGTCCCTAGGTTCCCCCATTTTACCGTCTCAAAACGCAACGGAACTTACTGAACCGCAGGCCCTCGGTTAGGGGTCCCAGAACTGGGTGAATGACATACACATGCAACTTTGGGGTAGAAAACCGTTTAGCGAGTTATCATATTGTATAGCGTATATGCCCGAGCCAAAGACGATTTGGAAAGGGAACTGGTGAGCGCATGTGGGCCTGGCTTGGAGAGGCGGAGCCTCTCAGCAGTTGGTGTTTCTCTTCACCCTGCAAGGTGTGGAGTGGAAGCGAAGAGGGGTGAAGTGAAGGTGGTCGGGAAGGGGAGGTTTGTTTGGTGAAGAGGGTGGTTTGGGAAGGGAGGGGTGAATGGTGTCGTTTCGAGGTTCGAGTCCAACCAACATCGCGTCCCCCCCACCCCCACCCCACTCCCACCGCTCCACCCCCCTCCCCCGCCTGACTTCGTGGGAACCCTGGGAAATTATCGGACCACTGCACTGCACTTGAGCTTGAGATTATCGAGCCGCACCGCAACAGAACTCCAACAAGGGCCTTGCTGGACACGCCACACGACACGGCATCCCCAAGGACAACCTGACCTGACACACCCACTCTGGGCAGCCGCGAAATAAACGGTTTCCCTCCATGATCGAGCCAGCCAGTGGCGACCCGTGCCAGCGGGAAAGGAGTGTTTTCGGTCATGTTTCAGGGCAGAAAGTTCTAAAAAAACACCTGCTTGTCTCACCTGTGTGGTGAAAAAACACCACCAGCCATATTACATTTTCCTTGACCAAATAATAGCCTGTCTGAACTGAATCCTCGAGTCACCCCATCCAATAATTCCCATATCCCATCCATTTCCCTCATCCACGGCCGTTTTCCCTCTCTATCAGCCGTGTCCCATGCAATTATAGAAACGCGTTATGGAAGCGCAGTAGACCCATTCCCTGCGATTGCTGTCCCGCTTGTGATAGGTTAGTCCGCGTTAGATTCATAAGAACTAGCGTTATGCATCGTCTCCATCCCGTTTCTGCACAAGAATCATCGCACTCCAGGAAAGCAAGCCTAGCTGGCACGTCCGTGACGCACAACCGCCAGTGTTCGACCGTTCCAGTCTAATCCTCAGCCTAGAGCTATCCTTAGTGGAGCAATAACGTCCGAAACTGAGTAGCTTTTGAGATGATTCAAAAGCAACCATAATACAGCCGCCTTTCAGAGAGGAAGTAAACAAGCAAATTCAGTGCTGCTCTGTTTGCGTTACCCCTGGTCCCCTTCATTTTCTTGGTACCCTCCGGACAACCTCTGTTCGCATTGACCTTGATCCAACTAAGTTAACTTAATTATCACTTCCGACGTCTCAAAAGCCCTCGGTTTCCTCCTAAGTTAAACGCACCATTCCATCATCTCGACCCCGTCGCGTTTCCAGCGCGTTTTCGTTCATTCAACTGTTAATTAAAGCTTGCGAAAAGAAAGGCCTTGCTAAGCCGCTTCAGCGATGGAGCGAGACCGACGTCTTCCCGAGCATGGAATCCCACCAGAGCCTCCAACGGTCGACTCCGCCCACGCCGCCGCCGCCGCCGCCGCCGCCTTACCCTCCCCAAGGACCGACGTTGGGACGATTCCCGGCTTCTTCGCATCGGCGGAGCGCGCCCCGAGCACTTCCGGGATTTTCGAGCGCGGCTCCGGCTCCTCGGGAGGAGTGGTCGAGCGCACCGGCAGCACTTCCCTTTACACCCCAAGATGGGCACGCGGGGCGGCGGGAGCGCCCGTACCCCCTTCCGCCATGGCCTCCGCGGCTGCCGCCGCAACAGCCGCCGCGTCAGCCTCCGCGTCTGCCGCCGCCGCCGCCGCTGCCGCAGCAGCCGTGCCTGGTTCGGACCCAACCACTCCTAGCGGCCCGCTGACGGCTCCGTTAGACGTCAGTTTTACGTCCACTAACCCTCCGACTCCGTTAGGGCTTCAGCAAGGCTTCCCGGGCTTCCGGCCGCGGGATCCTGAGCACGACAGGCGGAATCTATCCATGGAGATGCCGGAACCCCCCCCTCGGCGGAGAACCCGCCCCGTCTCTTCCGCCATCTACCCCCGCCCGCACCCCGTCGTTTCCCCCGGCGACGGCGCGGCACACCGCGGAATGGGCAGCGATTTGAGCGGAGACGCTCGGCTGTGGTCCCCGTCGCAGCATCTCCAGCGCGGGCGCATGCCGGAAGCCGCCTTTCCCAGTTACCGCCCGGGCGACAGCGGGATTCTCCGCGGCGGGAGGCGGCCCGGCGGGCCCATGTCCGGGCAGTTCCCCGGCCCGGGCATGGGAAAGTCGGGCATGATTGGCCAGTCGGGGCTGATCGGGCAGTCGGGAATGTTTCCCCCGCCGTCGGCGATCCCCCAGTCGGGGTCGTGGGGGGGGACTGCCCCGAACACGCCGAGCATACCAAAATCGAATATAGTGCAGAAATCGATGATCATGTGCATGGATCCGACGTGTAACAAATGCCCCCCCGAGATGCACGCGCTGCGGAACCGGAAGCTCATGGCGGCGGCTATTGACGAGTTCCCGCAGCCGCTGGCGTCGAAAGACGGGCGCGGCGGGGGGAGGCGGGGGAGCGACGGGGCCGGGGACGGGGGAGGCGACGGCGGAGGACGTGGCGGAGGAGGATTGGACGATTTTGAGTACGATTTCGACGAGTTTGATTTTGAGGATGACGAGGAGTATGACGAGGAGACGGGCGGGAAGAGAACCATCATTCGCTGCTGCGGCCTGCCATGCTTTGTCTTCACCAGCCGGGTTGGTTGTCAAACCCCCCCTCCCTTCAACCCCGCTTTCTTCCACTGCCCTTATGAGAATACCCCGCTCTCTTTCGCTATCCAGCTCTCTTTCGCTACCCAGCTCCCTTTTGAATAAGCATACCGATCTCGTACCCCCGCTCTTCCTCCCTCTCCCTCTCTCGTCCTCGCGTTTCCTCCGCCGTTCATGAACAATTCCAATCATTCAACGTCCCCCCGCTCCCCTCTCTCTTCCCCCCTTCCCCTTCCCCAACTAGCCCGCTGTGGCACGGCAAGCGCCTGTCGCCTATGCTGGGGTTCTACTAGTCATTCAAAACCCTTCCCTTCCCCCCCACGCACACCCCTTTCTTCCCGCCCGTCCTAATGGCAGGGCAAGCGCCGGTCGCCCATGCTGGGCTTTTTCCGGTTCGTGGAAGGTTTGGTGCAACCCGTGGGCATTCTCAACCCGCACTCCAGGTGGGGCTTTGTTGCATGCTTCTGGTGTATATATGCATTCTATGTATGTATATGTGCACGAATATGCATCTGTCTATTTGTGTATGTATATGCCTTATCCCTTGCCCACCTTTCCCCATTCAGGTTCGTGACGCAGTGTAACAATTGGTTCATGGTCACGTGCATATATTCATTCACTGCCCTGCCCTGTGCTGTGCCCATCCGCCCCCCTATGCCCATCTCTCCCCCCTTGCCTCCCCTTGCCCTGGTTCGTGGCGCAGTGGAACAAGTGGTTCATGGTGACGTGCATCTTTGGCTTCTGTATCGACCCATGGTTCCCCCTGTCCTGTCCCTGCCCCTATCCGTCCCCCCTTGCTTCCCCCGTCCACCACTCCCTACCGCCCCCCTCCCCAGGTTCGTGGCGCAGTGGAACAAGTGGTTCATGGTGACGTGCATCTTTGGCTGCTGTATCACCCCCTGGTTCCCCTGTCCTGTCTTGCTCCATCCGTTCCCCGTTGCTCTGCCCCCATTCTCCCCCTCCTCCCCACCCAGGTTCGTGGCGCAGTGGAACAAGTGGTTCATGGTGACGTGCATCTTTGGCTGCTGTATCAACCCCTGGTTCCCCTGTCCTGTCTTGCTCCATCCGTTCCCCGTTGCTCTGCCCCTGGTTCCCCTGTCCTGTCTTGCTCCATCCGTTCCCCGTTGCTCTGCCCCCATTCTCCCCCTCCTCCCCACCCAGGTTCGTGGCGCAGTGGAACAAGTGGTTCATGGTGACGTGCATCTTTGGCTGCTGTATCACCCCCTGGTTCCCCTGTCCTGTCTTGCTCCATCCGTTCCCCGTTGCTCTGCCCCCATTCTCCCCCTCCTCCCCACCCAGGTTCGTGGTGCAGTGGAACAAGTGGTTCATGGTGACGTGCATCTTTGGCTGCTGTATCAACCCCTGGTTCCCCTGTCCTGTCTTGCTCCATCCGTTCCCCGTTGCTCTGCCCCCATTCTCCCCCTCCTCCCCACCCAGGTTCGTGGCGCAGTGGAACAAGTGGTTCATGGTGACGTGCATCTTTGGCTGCTGTATCACCCCCTGGTTCCCCTGTCCTGTCTTGCTCCATCCGTTCCCCGTTGCTCTGCCCCCATTCTCCCCCTCCTCCCCACCCAGGTTCGTGGTGCAGTGGAACAAGTGGTTCATGGTGACGTGCATCTTTGGCTGCTGTATCAACCCCTGGTTCCCCTGTCCTGTCTTGCTCCATCCGTTCCCCGTTGCTCTGCCCCCATTCTCCCCCTCCTCCCCACCCAGGTTCGTGGCGCAGTGGAACAAGTGGTTCATGGTGACGTGCATCTTTGGCTGCTGTATCACCCCCTGGTTCCCCTGTCCTGTCTTGCTCCATCCGTTCCCCGTTGCTCTGCCCCCATTCTCCCCCTCCTCCCCACCCAGGTTCGTGGTGCAGTGGAACAAGTGGTTCATGGTGACGTGCATCTTTGGCTGCTGTATCAACCCCTGGTTCCCCTGTCCTGTCTTGCTCCATCCGTTCCCCGTTGCTCTGCCCCCATTCTCCCCCTCCTCCCCACCCAGGTTCGTGGCGCAGTGGAACAAGTGGTTCATGGTGACGTGCATCTTTGGCTTCTGTATCGACCCATGGTTCCTCTTCACGCTGCTCACCATGTTCTCGCCCTCCAAGGTATGTTTAAGTGCACGTGGTTACCAGCACGTGGCTCGTGGTTACCAACATGTGGTTACCATCTGTATCACCCACAGCAGTGGCACTGCATTGACCCCTGGTTCCTCTTCACGCTCCTCACCGTGTTCTCGCCCTCCAAGGTATGTTCAAGTGCACGTGGTTACCAGCACGTGGCTCGTGGTTACCAACATGTGGTTACCATCTGTATCACCTACAGCACTGGCACTGCATTGAACCATGGTTCCTCTTCACGCTGCTCACCGTGTTCTCGCCCTCTAAGGTAAACACACGGCAATGGCACATGCACTCGTCAACCTCTTGGGCCCTGGCACACCATGCAGCACAGCACTGGCATTGCACTGACACCATTTTTGAGGCGCCTAAAAAATGCAGCACAGCACTGGCACTGCACTGACACCTGTTTCCTCTTCACGCACGACACCATGTTCTCGCCCTCCAAGGCTTGCTAGAATGTACCTGGTTACCAGCACGTGGTTACCAGCACGTGGTCCAGCATGTGGTTACCATTCATATCATGTGGTCCGTTGTACCTCTAATGTGGTCCTCTATACTTCTGATGTTGCCCTTCCCACTCCCCATTTCTCAGCCCTCATTTCTCACTCCCCATTTCTCTATCCCCATGTCTCACTCCCCATTTCTCACTTCCCATTTCTCGCTCCCCACTTCTCACTCCCTATTTCTCACTCCCCATTTCTCACTCCCCATTTCTCGCTCCCCATTTCTCACTCACTCCTCTTTCTCTCCCCAACATTCTCAGGTCACCCTGTGTTTGGACATCAATTACCCTGCTGCCATCACCCTCACTCACAGTGATGCTTTACCGTTTATCTCGTACGCTGCCCCCCTCTCACTCACTCCCCTCTTTCTCACCTCACGCGACCCTTCACTGTATATCTCACTCTCCTCTCACTTCACTCCCATCAGGTCACCCTGTGTCTAGACATCAACTACCCTGCAGCCATCACCCTCACTGTGATGCGGTCAATCGTGGATCTCATGTATCTTATAAACATATTCATACAGGTAAGCGAGACTTCCAGACACGTCTAGTGTGTGTTGCTCGCAGCGAGGTAACTTGCATGCATTCCTCCTGAGCTGCTGCCATCACGCTCACTGTCATGCGTTCAATCGTGGATCTCATGTATCTCGTCAACATCTTCATACATGTGCGTGTGATTGACCGCAACAGGTGTGTGTGACTTGTGTGTTCATTCATGCTCAAACCTCAATCGTTGATCTTATGTTCCTCATCGACATTTTCATACCAGTGCGTGTGGCTCGTACTGAAACTTCGCCGAATTTATTGACCCAATAATTTTCAGCATTTGTATTATACAGGTGTCGAGTTAAAGCCAGGGTCTCATGTAAGAGAATCTGCCTTCAACTGCAAAACATTTGAAGCTAGGTCTCCCTGTTTGAGTAGGCGAAGTTTAGTGGTAGGTGTTTTGAGACGTCTCAAAACAGGCAGATTCAGTGTGCGACACCTTCACGATTTTGCCCCTGATTCAAGTGCAAAACAAATTGCTGGGTACTTGAGACTTTCTGGAACCTGGTACATTTGGCTGGTGATTTTGCTTCGGCACCGAACCAAAATTCGAACCTAGAAGGTTTGGTTGCACCCTGCGATTTGTGTTTCCTTCGCGCCCCTCAATACACCCCTCGTCAAACTTTACACCTCGCCAAGCATTCCTAGGCTAGGTCCATTCATCAACTGCAAAACAAATGAACTACGTGAGACCCTGGTTTTAATTAACAAAAGCACATTGACATAATACATTTCAAAACAACATCAGGATCTCAAAATTACATGAATGGATTGTATAAATTATACCTTTTCCTCTAAGCCTATTTCGCCCCAGCGCCCAGCAACCGCTCCTACAGGTGGAGCTGCCTCCTCCACTCTAGACTCATGGCGATTCCCCCCCCCGCTTCCCCTCCTCTCCCCCTGCCCCTCTTCCCCCCCTCTCCACATCCCTCGCATCAGTTCCGCATGGCCTATTTCGTCCCAGCGCCCAGCAACCGCTCCTACAGGTGGAGCTGCCTGTGCTGGTGGTACGCGGAGCCCTCTAAGCTCACTTCCCCAGCAGTCTTGACTTGTTGCCCCCCACATCTCTCCCTTACCCGTTACCCCTCCCGCCCCCCCCCCCCCCCTCCCTCTCCTACCAGTTCCGCATGGCTTACTTCGTCCCGGCGCCCAGCAACCGCTCCTACAGGTGGAGCTGCCTGCGCTGGTGGTACGCTGAGACCTCTCAGCTGGAACCAGGGGACATGGAGACAGACACGCGGGTGATTGCCATGCGATACCTCAAGTCCTGGTTCCTCGTGGACCTCGTCTCGACCTTCCCCATCCCTCAGGTGAGTGGGATTGGGTATTCTGCCCTGGTAGGTAAGAGGCCTGTGAACCCATTTCATGCCTGGGAGCCTGCCCCGGGCACCCCTCTCAGCTGGAACCGGGGGACATGGAGACGGACACGAGGGTGATTGCCATTCGATACCTCAAGTCCTGGTTCCTCGTGGACCTCGTCTCCACCTTCCCCATCCCCCAGGTGAGTGGGATTGGGTATTCTGCCCTGGTAGGTAAGAGGCCTGTGAACCCATTTCATGCCTGGGAGCCTGCCCCGGGCACCCCTCTCAGCTGGAACCAGGGGACATGGAGACAGACACAAGAGTGATTGCCGTGCGATACCTCAAGTCCTGGTTCCTCGTGGACCTCGTCTCCACCTTCCCCATCCCCCAGGTGAGTGGGATAGGATTGATATGCTCGTCCAGGTAAGGCTGGTGGTACGCTGAGCCCTCTCAGCTGCCCCCGGCCGGGGGACATGGAGATGGACACGAGGGTCATTCATTGCCATTCGCTACCTCAAGTCCTGGTTCCTCGCGGACCTCGTATCCACGTTCCCCATCCCCCAGGTGAAGGTCTGAGCCGTGTTGGCCCACCTTCTCCCCCCAACCCCCCACTGGCAGCAATGCCTTTGGCCTTTTGAGTCGACTCAAAAGCACAAGTCCTGGTTACACAAGGGTTGACCTTGTGTCCACCTTCCCCATCCCTCAGGTGAAGGTCTGAGCCGTGTTGGCCCACAAGGTGACTTTTGAGTCGACTCAGAAGTCTCCTGGTTCGTTGTTGACCTTGTGGCCACCTTCCCCATCCCCCAGGTGAAGGTCTGAGCCGTGTTGGCCCACATCCTCCCCCCAACCCCCCACTGGCAGCAATGCCTTTGGCCTGTATTCCCCCTGATATGGTACTCCCCTTTCGAGAATTCTCAAGAGTGACGTAAGGTCGAAACCGTTAAACGCCTTTTCAGTGACGTAATGGTATTTTCATGTTTAACGCCTTCTTCCCTCGCCTTCCTCACTTCCTCTTCCCCTCCCTCTTCCCCTCCCTCTTCCCCTCCCTCTTCCCCTCCCTCTTCCCCTCCCTCTTCCCCTCCCTCTTCCCCTCCCTCTTCCCCTCCCTCTTCCCCTCCCTCTTCCCCTCCCTCTTCCCCTCCCTCTTCCCCTCCCTCTTCCCCTCCCTCTTCCCCTCCCTCTTCCCCTCCCTCTTCCCCTCCCTCTTCCCCTCCCTCTTCCCCTCCCTCTTCCCCTCCCTCTTCCCCTCCCTCTTCCCCTCCCTCTTCCCCTCCCTCTTCCCCTCCCTCTTCCCCTCCCTCTTCCCCTCCCTCTTCCCCTCCCTCTTCCCCTCCTCTTCCCCTCCCTCTTCCCTCCCTCTTCCCCTCCCTCTTCCCCTCCCTCTTCCCCTCCCTCTTCCCCTCCCTCTTCCCCTCCCTCTTCCCCTCCCTCTTCCCCTCCCTCTTCCCCTCCCTCTTCCCCTCCCTCTTCCCCTCCCTCTTCCCCTCCCTCTTCCCCTCCCTCTTCCCCTCCCTCTTCCCCTCCCTCTTCCCCTCCCTCTTCCCCTCCCTCTTCCCCTCCCTCTTCCCCTCCCTCTTCCCCTCCCTCTTCCCCTCCCTCTTCCCCTCCCTCTTCCCCTCCCTCTTCCCCTCCCTCTTCCCCTCCCTCTTCCCCTCCCTCTTCCCCTCCCTCTTCCCCTCCCTCTTCCCCTCCCTCTTCCCCTCCCTCTTCCCCTCCCTCTTCCCCTCCCTCTTCCCCTCCCTCTTCCCCTCCCTCTTCCCCTCCCTCTTCCCCTCCCTCTTCCCCTCCCTCTTCCCCTCCCTCTTCCCCTCCCTCTTCCCCTCCCTCTTCCCCTCCCTCTTCCCCTCCCTCTTCCCCTCCCTCTTCCCCTCCCTCTTCCCCTCCCTCTTCCCCTCCCTCTTCCCCTCCCTCTTCCCCTCCCTCTTCCCCTCCCTCTTCCCCTCCCTCTTCCCCTCCCTCTTCCCCTCCCTCTTCCCCTCCCTCTTCCCCTCCCTCTTCCCCTCCCTCTTCCCCTCCCTCTTCCCCTCCCTCTTCCCCTCCCTCTTCCCCTCCCTCTTCCCCTCCCTCTTCCCCTCCCTCTTCCCCTCCCTCTTCCCCTCCCTCTTCCCCTCCCTCTTCCCCTCCCTCTTCCCCTCCCTCTTCCCCTCCCTCTTCCCCTCCCTCTTCCCCTCCCTCTTCCCCTCCCTCTTCCCCTCCCTCTTCCCCTCCCTCTTCCCCTCCCTCTTCCCCTCCCTCTTCCCCTCCCTCTTCCCCTCCCTCTTCCCCTCCCTCTTCCCCTCCCTCTTCCCCTCCCTCTTCCCCTCCCTCTTCCCCTCCCTCTTCCCCTCCCTCTTCCCCTCCCTCTTCCCCTCCCTCTTCCCCTCCCTCTTCCCCTCCCTCTTCCCCTCCCTCTTCCCCTCCCTCTTCCCCTCCCTCTTCCCCTCCCTCTTCCCCTCCCTCTTCCCCTCCCTCTTCCCCTCCCTCTTCCCCTCCCTCTTCCCCTCCCTCTTCCCCTCCCTCTTCCCCTCCCTCTTCCCCTCCCTCTTCCCCTCCCTCTTCCCCTCCCTCTTCCCCTCCCTCTTCCCCTCCCTCTTCCCCTCCCTCTTCCCCTCCCTCTTCCCCTCCCTCTTCCCCTCCCTCTTCCCCTCCCTCTTCCCCTCCCTCTTCCCCTCCCTCTTCCCCTCCCTCTTCCCCTCCCTCTTCCCCTCCCTCTTCCCCTCCCTCTTCCCCTCCCTCTTCCCCTCCCTCTTCCCCTCCCTCTTCCCCTCCCTCTTCCCCTCCCTCTTCCCCTCCCTCTTCCCCTCCCTCTTCCCCTCCCTCTTCCCCTCCCTCTTCCCCTCCCTCTTCCCCTCCCTCTTCCCCTCCCTCTTCCCCTCCCTCTTCCCCTCCCTCTTCCCCTCTTCCCTCCTCTTCCCCTCCCTCTTCCCCTCCCTCTTCCCCTCCCTCTTCCCCTCCCTCTTCCCCACCACATGATCTTCATCCCAGGGATCGTCCCAGCGCTGGGCAAGAGCCTACCCACAGCAGCCAACACGTGGATCGCCGTGCTCACGCTCCTCCCGCTCTGCATCCAGAACGTCCCCCGTGCTGGCCGCTTCTTCCCTCAGCGCATCCCTTCCCTTCCATTCCATTCCCTCCCCTCCTCTCCCCTTCATCTTCCTCTGTTCCTCTGCACCATATACCATCCTTCAAGCCTCCATCCCTCCCCTCTTTTCCGCCTCTTTCTGCCCTGTCCCCATCAGATCTTCATCCTGGGAATCGTCCCAGCGCTGGGCAAGAGCGTGGCCACAGCAGCCAACACGTGGATCGCTGTCCTCACCCTCCTCGCGCTCTGCATTCAGAACGTCCCCCGTGCCGTGCGCTTCTTCCCGCTGCTGGCGGGCACGGCGCCGCATGTGACGGGCTTTGTGTTTGAGACCGCGTGGGCCAATTTCCTCCTCAACCTGGTGTTCTACCTCATGGCGTCGAATTTCGTGGGAGGAGTGTGGTACATCCTGGCTGTCGATGTGAGTGCCTGCCTTCTTTCCCCTTCCTGCCCCTTCCTCTCCGTCCGTCTCCTGCTGCCGTGCTGTTGGTGTGAGTGAGTACGAGTCCTCCTTCCCCGTGCCGCGCGCTTCTTCCCGCTGCTGGCGGGCACTGCGCCGCATGTGACGGGCTTTGTGTTTGAAACCGCGTGGGCCAATTTCCTCCTCAACCTGGTCTTCTACTTGATGGCCTCAAACTTCGTGGGAGGCGTGTGGTACATTCTCGCTGTTGATGTGAGTGCCTGCCGTCCCCTTCCTTCCCCTTCCTTCTCCTGCTGCCGTGCTGTTGGTGTGAGCGCGAGTCCAAACCCTTCCTGCCTTCCCGCTGCTGGCGGGCACGGGGTGCATGTGACGGACTTGGTGTTTGGGCTTTGTACTGCTTGCCCAATCTGGTGTGTCGCGGCGACGGGGGGCGGTGATGCACTCGCGGCGGTGGGATCCGCAGGCGAGGAGGGCGCAATCACGGCGGAGGGAGGGGAGGGCGGCGACGACGTAGGTCGTGCCAAGGAGATGCTAGGTTGAGCCACACGTAGGGGGTTTGTGGCTGTGGGGTGGGCCCATGGGGAAGAAAAAACTTTGAGGGAGGGAGAGAAAAGGCTTAGGAACAACTAGCTCTATACCATGTGAAGATTGTGAATTGAACAAGTAATTGGATTAGAGGAACAACCTAGCATACATAGTTGGAAGGGAAGGTTGGAAGGGAAGGATGAAAGTGACCATAGGTTGGGTTGACCTCACTTGGGGAAGTGAGGGAACCATAGGTCAAGTGGGTTGGGTTGCCCACACTTTGTAGAAGTGAGGCAACCCTAGGCCCACTTTGCTTGGGGTAACCTCAATTGTGGGAAGTGAGGTACCCACAAGTCAAGAGGGTTGCATTTGGGGGCTCCACCACAATTGGGTGGATTGGCACCCCAAAGTGCAAGACTACACCCAAAGTTGGGTGTAGTCCCAACCCAACTGTACACCACAATTGGTGTACAGTCACATGTGTTGGCATGCTACACAATATATATTTTAACAACATTCTCGCTGTTGATGTGAGTGCCTGCCGTCCCCTTCCTTCCCCTTCCTTCTCCTGCTGCCGTGCTGTTGGTGTGAGCGCGAGTCCAAACCCTTCCTGCCTTCCCGCTGCTGGCGGGCACGGGGTGCATGTGACGGACTTGGTGTTTGGGCTTTGTACTGCTTGCCCAATCTGGTGTTCTACCTCATGGCGTCGAATTTCGTCGGCGGAGTGTGGTACATCCTTTCAGTTGATGTGAGTGCTTCCCTTTCCCCCACCCTGCTGCCTTGCTGTCGACTTGAGTGCTGCCTTCCTTGTTTCCTGCCTTCCTGCTTTCCTGCCTGCCTGCCTGCCTGCCTGCCTGCCTGCCTGCCTGCCTGCCTGCCTGCCTGCCTGCCTGCCTGCCTGCCTGCATTCCTGCCTGCCTGCCTGCTTTCCTGCCTGCCTGCCTGCCTGCCTGCTTTCTTGCCTGCCTGCCTGCATTCCTGCCTGCCTGCCTGCATTCCTGCCTGCCTGCCTGCTTTCCTGCCTGCCTGCCTGCCTGCATGCCTGCCTGCCTGCCTGCCTGCCTGCCTGCCTGCCTGCCTGCCTGCCTGCCTGCCTGCCTGCCTGCATTCCTGCCTGCCTGCCTGCTTTCCTGCCTGCCTGCCTGCCTGCCTGCCTGCCTGCCTGCCTGCCTGCATTCCTGCCTGCCTGCCTGCTTTCCTGCCTGCCTGCCTGCCTGCCTGCCTGCTTTCTTGCCTGCCTGCCTGCATTCCTGCCTGCCTGCCTGCTTTCCTGCCTGCCTGCCTGCTTTCCTGCCTGCCTGCCTGCCTGCCTTCCCGCTGCTGGCGGGCACGGCGCCGCACGTGACGGGCTTTGTGTTTGAGACCGCGTGGGCCAATTTCTTATGGAGGGGTGTGGTACATTCTTGCTGTCGATGTGAGTGCTGCCCTCCTTGTTTCTCTCCTTCTTCTAGTCTTGCAACACTACTGCCCATGTCGTACCCTCTCACTCCCTGTCCTTCTCTCCTCTTCTCTTTTCCCAACACTCCCTTCGGGCCTTTTCCCGTCCTCCCTCCCACCAGCGTTTCAGCGAGTGCCTGCAAAACGTCTGTGCCAACACCAAGGGCTGCAACCCCACCTACCTCTACTGCTCCAACACCAACGCCCCAGTCACCACCGTCGCCTCTGCGGACCTCTTCTCACCGCAATACAACAACACGAACGTCACCACATGCCTGTACACCCCTGGGGATGACAAGACGACACAGTCGCCCATCCCGTACGGGGTGTTTGCAAATGCCATCCCGCTCACGGCGAGCCGGGACGTGGTCTCCAACTACCTCTACTCCTTCTTCTGGGGGCTGCAGGTGAGCCTCTCCGTCTTTCCTTGGTTCTGCTGGGGGCTGCAGGTGAGCCTCTCCCTTGTCCTCACCACAGCAAGTGAAGTGAGCACGCTGTGTGGCAATCTGGTGCCGTTGCTATTCGTCATCCTCGTCACCACTCAACTCTCCTGTCCCCTTTTCCCTTCCCTTCCGCCCCCACCTTCCTACTCCCCTCCCCTCAACCCCCCCACAGCAAGTGAGCACGCTGTGCGGTAACCTCGTGCCGTCATGGTGGGACGTGGAGGTGCTGTTTGTCATCGTCGTCATCATCATCGACCTCCTGCTGTTCCTGCCTCCCTCACTCTCCTCTCCACCTCCTCTCCCCTGCCTCCTCATCGCAGCAAGTGAGCACGCTGTGTGGAAACCTGGTGCCGTCGCGGTGGGACGTTGAGGTGCTATTCGTTATCGTCGTAACAATCATCGGTCTGCTGCTGCTGGCTCTCCTCATCGGCAACATCTCCAACTACCTCCAGTCGCTCAACAGAAGGTAGGTGCAGTGTGGTGCGGTGCGGTTACTGACAGTATAGCAGTTACCACACAAGTAGCCATCAGTAGCCAGCAGTCGCCATAATCGGTCTGCTGCTGCTCACGCTCCTCATTGGCAACATCTCCTCCAACTACCTCCAGTCGCTCAACAGAAGGTGAGTAATATGGGGGACGTTAACGGTTTAATTTTTACCGGTGTGGTTACCACACAAGTAAGTCGTCACCATCATCGGTCTGCTGCTGCTGGCGCTCCTCATTAGCAATATCTCCTCATATTGGCCCTCCTCTCGACCTCCTCTCTCGAACGGTCCTTTCATTGATGTAGAAAATGAGGTACAGACAAATGCAAGGAATGAGCAAGGAAAGCCTACTACATATATGGGACTAACCCTTCTATTCTCGAATGGTCCTTGCATTACTTAAGGGGTGGTCCTTCTATTCTCTCTCTCTCTCCTCTCCTCTCCTCTCCCCCCCAACAGGTCCTTTGAGTATCAGCTACAGCGACAGGACATCGACTCGTGGATGCAGCGCAGGAACCTTCAAGTCGACTCAAATGTTCTCTTTACCTTCCTCTCCTTTCCCCTCCCTTTCCCTCCCCCCTCCCTTCTCTCCACAGGTCCTTTGAGTATCAGCTACAGCGACAGGACATCGACTCGTGGATGCAGCGCAGGAACCTTTGTGACGAACATGCTAGTGGTAACATGCCTTAACCTCTCTCCCCTTCTCGTCCTTTCCCCCCTCCTCTCCCCCCCAACAGGTCCTTTGAGTATCAGCTTCAGGGACACGACATTGACTCGTGGATGCAGTGCAGGAACCTTTGCGATGCACACGCTAGCAGTGCCATGCCTCAACGTCCCTCCCCTTCTTGTCCTTTCCCCTCCTCTCCCGCTCTGCAGGTCATTCGAGTATCAGCTTCAGCGCCACGACATCGACTCGTGGATGCAGCGCAGGAACCTTCCCGTTGACCTCCAGAAGTAAGCTTTCTTCCCAGAACCTTCCTGTCGACCTCCAAGTGTAAGCTTCCCAGAACCTTCTGATGCTTTCCGACGCTTAGATTGGAGAGGCTAGGATTGTCTGTGCCCGTGGTTTTGTGCAGTGTAGTTGTTGTCTTAACCCAAACGCGATTCACATTTCAACCTGTTGACTCCATTCACTTTCTCTCCCCACAGGCAAGTGCAGGCGCAGCTGCAGCTGCGGCTGCAGTGGGCGGCGATTCGAGGCGTGGAATAGGCAGAGTTGCTGGGCACCCTTCACGTGCAACCCACTTGACTTTGTTGACTTTGTTCACAACCCACTGGACTCCCCCTCTCCCCGACACAGGCAAGTGCAGGCGCAGCTGCGGCTGCAGTGGGCGGCGACTAGAGGCGTGGACGAGGCAGAGCTGCTGGACAGCTTCTCGGACTCCATTCAGATCGACCTCCGCCGCTCGCTGTGCCTCGAGCTGCTACAATGCGTGAGTCCGCCTGGCGTAGCGAGGTACAGTACGGTGTGTTACGGTATGATGTGGTAGGGTGTGAGGAGCAGAGCTGCTGGACAGCTTCTCGGACTCCATTCAGATCGACCTCCGCCGCTCGTTGTGCCTCGAGCTGCTACAATGCGTGAGTCCGCCTGGTGTAGCGAGGTACAGTACGGTATGTTACAGTATGACGTGGTAGGGTGTGAGGAGCAGAGCTGCTGGACAGTTTCTCAGACCCCATTCAGATTGACCTCCGCCGCTTGCTGTGCTTGGAGTTACTGCAATGCGAGAGTGTTGTGTGGTTTGGAGCGGTACAGTACGGTACGGTACGGTATGGTGTCGAATGGTCTTGTATGATAGGGTGTGAGGCAGAGCTGCTGGACAGCTTCTCCGACTCCATTCAGATTGACCTCCGCCGCTCGCTGTGCTTGGAGTTACTGCAATGCGTGAGTGTTATGTGGTTTGGAACGGAACGGTACGGTACGGTACGGTACAGTAAGGTGCAGTGATGGTAATGTATGGTAGATGTGAGGCATAGCTGCTGGACAGCCTCTCGGACTCTATTCAGATTGACATCCGGCGCTCGAAAGCTACTCCACCCCTCCTCAGCTCCCTCCCGGGACCCCTCTTCCTTGCAAGGAGTAGCTACCCCAGTTCCCAACACCCCTCTCCTTCCTCCTTCCCCCCTTCCCGTCCCCTTTCCGCCACCTCTTCCCCTCCCACTCAACAGTCCGTGCTCTTCTGTGCGATGGAACCCCCAGTCCTGGACGCCTTCTGTGCGCGCCTGCAACAGCAGATGCACCATCCCATCACCCCTGTCCTTCCTCCTTCCCCTCCCTTCCCCACCTCCGCCTTCCCTTCCCCCTCCCCACCCGCTCAACAGTCCGTGCTCTTCTGTGCGATGGAACCCCCAGTCCTGGACGCCTTCTGTGCGCGGCTGCAGCAGCAGATCTACACAGCCGGCTCAATGATCATACGAGAGGGCTACCCCGTGACGCGCATCTTCTTTGTCCTCCGCGGCGAGCTCGAGAGCTCGATGGCTTCTCCACGTTCTCCTTCTCCCCATTCTCCTGTGATCCTCACTCCCTCTCCTTCCTCCCTCCTTTCTCCCTCCTTCCCCCCCTCCTCTCCCCTCTAGTCCAAGCTGTTTTGTGCCATGGAGCCGCCAGTCCTGGACGCCTTCTGTGCGCGCCTGCAGCAGCAGATCTACACAGCCGGCTCAATGATCATACGAGAGGGCTACCCCGTGTCGCGCATCTTCTTTGTCCTCCGCGGCGAGCTCGAGAGCTTCTCAACGTTCGGCGGGCACACGGGGATGGTGGACACTGTGGTGCTGGGCAAGGGCGACTTCCTGGGCGAGGAGCTTCTGGTGGAATGTCTCGAGAGGCTGTCGACTGCCAGTGGGAAGGGCTCGGGGCGATCCCTTACCATGAGGAGATGTGAGTCTCTGTCTGTTGTTGTCTGGGTTTGTTGAACGGGAAGGGGAGGGTTGCGGGAAGGGCTCGGGGCGATCGCTCACCATGCGGCGATGTGAGTTTCTTTCTGTCCTTGCTTGGAAAGGACCATGTGGGAAGGGGGCAGACCCTCAGGTCAAGATGTGAGTATGATTCTGTCCTTGCATGGGAAGGGGCGTGGCAAGGGGCGCATGGAAGGGGCACACGGGGATGGTGGATACAGTGGTGCTGGGCAAGGGGGGCTTTCTGGGCGAGGAGCTTCTGGTGGTGGAGTGTCCAGAGGGGCTGTCTGCTACCAGCGGAAAGGGCTCGGGGCGATCCCTTACCATGCGGCGATGTGAGTTTTGCCATTTGGAGGGGGAGGGGACTGGGCGGTGCTGGGCAAGGGGGACTTTCTGGGGGAAGAGCTTCTGGTGGTGGAGTGTCTCAAGAGGCTGTCTGCTGCCAGCGGGAAGGGCTCGGGGCGATCGATTACCATGAGCCGATGTGAGTATCGGTGGGAAGCTCTGGGTGTGAGGAGATGTGAGTATCTCTGTTTTCGTTCTTGTTTTTTTCGTTCCCCGTTCCTTTCCCCCCCAGCCATCTCAGCCACGCCATCACTCACCAGCTCTGCCAACATCTCCCAGCCATGTGAAGCGAGGTTGTTTTTGAGACGTCTCAAAAACGCCATCTCTCACCAGCTCTGCCAACATCTCCCAGCCATCTTTTGAGGCGCCTCAAAATCCACGCCACCTCTCACCAGCTCTGGCAACATCTCCCAGCCATCTATAGACCTGCTGCCCACAGCACAACCCTCGCTTTCTTCTCTCATACTCCCCCATCCCCAAACCCCAACCCCCCGCTTCCCCACCCACCCACCCCCCAGCCATCTCAGCGACCCCATCGCTCACCAGCTCTGCCAATCTGTCCCAGCCATCAGTAGACGTGCTGCCCACAGCACAACCCTCCATTCCGTCTCTTACCCCCCAATACTGCCTTCCCACCCCCCACCATCCCCGTTCCCCGCCCCCCAGCCATCTCTGCCACGCCATCGCTCACCAGCTCTGCCAATCTGTCCCAGCCATCAGTAGACGTCTTGCCAACAGCGCAGCGTTCGGTGCGCTGCCTGGGGCCCGTCGAAGGGTACTCGTTAGAGGCTGCAGATGTGGCGTCTGTGTGCAAGCAGTTTGCACGCATGCTCTGCACCAACACCATTCAGCGCGCCCTTAAGTGAGATGTCTTTTCTTTGTCTTCTTTCCTGCTTTTTTCTTTTCTTTTCTTTTAGTTCCTTTTGTGTGTGTATAAGAACTTCCATCTTCGCTTTTCAGATTCAGGATCAATCTCTGCAGAAACTTGTGTATTCCGTCACAAAAACGCAACCGTAAAAGCTGCCTTCACATCGTGCGCTCTGCCCGTCAAATAAACTATGCTTTCTCCCCCCCCCCCCCCACATGCCCTCTCCCCGCCTCAACCTCTCCCCATCCGTGCTTCCTTCTAATCACCTCCAGCGAAATATGCTACAACAGACGAACGCACGCCGCCCGCACGATCCAGCTGGCGTTCCGGCGGTACTTGAGGCGAAAGCTCGGTCTCTCTGTAGAGGATGTATTTAAAGCGGTTCGGAACAGGCGCATGGCGGCGGTGCTTAACAAAGCACAGGAGATACGAGCTAATAGTGCGCTTAATGGTACTGCTGCTGCTGCCGCTGCTTTGGCCGTTGCTGCTGCTGGGAGTGCGAGTATGGCCGCGAGTGGGAGGAGCAGTGATTCGGAGAAGGCAAGGGGGGGGGAGGAGAAAGGGGAGAAGGGAGAAGGGAAGGTGAGGTTTGCTGTGGATAAAGGAGACAGCGGGCGCGACAAAAAACCGGAGTAATTTTAAATATATGTCCGTTGCTCCTTGCTAAATCTGGCGCCATGCCTTACTAGCCAATACAACTGGTTGTTGAACCATTGTCATTAACTGACTGTTCGTGTGCATAATTTATTCCACTGGTCTGCAATTTTGAGTTGCCTAATTTGTCCCTCCAGAGGCTGCACTATATTCTATGCACAGCCGTGAAGCGGCTCTCACTGAGGCGAGTCTAGCTGGAAGTCGCCATGTCATTCGACGACGCAGCGCTTTTCTTCAGTAAGCGACAAGCTGGAACTCATTGTGGACCGTCAGCGACAGCTCGGTTCGTCGCAAGCACACATCAGCCATTAATTTACCGCCACATTTTCGGTCGTCAGCTACACACATTATCGTTAAGGTTGAGAGTTGAGCAGTGATTGGTTGATTCGTTGCCGACAAATCGATTTGTACTGGACGTCGGCGATTAGCATGGGTGGCGGAAGGAAGCGGAGGGTGTTTGGAGGGAGTAGGGGGAATTGGTGAGGAGCATCTGTGCGATGCTGCTGTTGTTTTTCGCTCGTAGTCGTATGGACACACGTGGAATCGCACGAGGATTTGTCATCGTCGCGAATTTCGTTCACCCCGCTTCTGGATCGCCTGCTTTACCCCACTTTGCAGAGAAGGGAGGAGCAGGAATATAGACGAGCGAATCGCCGGGAATACCGAGGGTGGGGGCAAATTTGCGCGATTTGAAAAACAGACGGAAACCGTCCCCAAGCGAGTCAACTAATCGCCACCAGCAGCAGCGCCAACCCAATGGCCCTCCCTCCCTCCCTGCCCGAAACACCCAGCGACCAACCAACAACCCAAGAAACCAAAGCAACAACCACAAGCGGTCGAGTCGATGCACTGTGCGACAGCGACGGAAAACATGAAACGAACTTTTCAAAAATTACAACTCGAGTGTGAGGGAGGGATCATATTCCCCCCTTTCGTCCAAAAACGGAAATTCTGAAGGGAGGAGGAGGGAGCAACTCTGCTGGTGGAACCTGGTCGACTCACCGCCATGGCCACCGTTCCCGCGTCGCACGTCGTTCGCGCGCGAGGTGCATCGTCCGTGCCGTCCTCGCGCAGTAGGGTAACCAGCTCCTCGTCCGAAGCCTCCTTTCGCGAAGCGTCGCATGGGCCGTTTCTCCCGCCCCGCTCCCGTCGATTAAAGCCTTTAATCGCTATATCCTCCGATCCCAGCCATTGCGCGTTGCGAACATCCCAGCCACTCAAAAGCCGCCACGTGGCGTCATCTGGACTTTCAGAACCCGCAGCGCGAGTTTCTGTGCCAGTAACGAACGGCAGTGTTGCTCCCGAAGCGCGTAGCCCCTCAATCTCAGTGGAAAAGTTCCCGCTAACAAAACCAGCTTCAGTAGAGTCATCTACCTTTGATGCCAAGAGCTTACTCATAAAGGCTAATAGCGTGGATATTGGTACACCGTCATCGCGCGTCGCTTCGTCACGTGGAGCTACTTATAACGGGGATCGCGATGTTAGCAAGTTGAACTTCGACCCCGATATCGGAACACATCAGAACACCAGTGCAACCGCTTTAGTCACAGCCGTGCGTCGGGTTCTCGGGCAGTGGCGACACGAACTTTCGCGGAAGATGCATTGCGACACCGTAGGCTCCTCCTCTACTTCCTCCTCCTCCTCCTCTCCGCTCCCTTCCTATTCCCAGGAATCAACGGTTCCATTTTTCCGGCAATCGGCGGCTTCTGATTGGCGGAAACTAGCCGCGTCAGCGTCGATCGCTATGTTCCTTTTCTCCTCCTCCCCGATTCCCGCTCTCGCTTACGTGGCGGCGCCTCCGCGCACGCTTTCCCAAGATGAGATCGCGACCGTCCGATTGTTCAAGGAGACGACGCCATCCGTCGTGAACATTACGAACCTCGGCGTGGGTCGCGACGCGCTGACGCTCGACGTGCTGGCGGTGCCGCAAGGGTCGGGGAGCGGGTTCATATGGGACGAGATGGGACATATCGTGACCAACTACCACGTAATCGCTAATGCCGCTGACCTCAGGTAAGTGGATGGGTGGAATGCGGTGGAATAAGGACTTGGCAGCGGGTTCATGTCAGACGAAGTGGGGCACATCGTTGCCAACTACCACGTGAATAAGGAAATGCCAGTGCTGCTGATCATCTCCTTTTCCCCCATTTGATCACACAGGGTAACCCTTTTTGTTTGAGGTTGATTTTGAGAATTCTCAAAATCAACCATTTGATCACACAGGGTAACCCTCTCAGACTCCTCAGTGCATGCAGCGGGTGTGGGGTGAGACGAGGTCAAGGACGTGGCGGTGCCACTGGTTACCACCTCCCCTTCAACCTCTTTCCCACCTCCTCACTTCATTTATTTACGGCACGCACGCACATGCGTCGTGGTGGTGGTGGTGGGGTGTGACGAGGACAAGGACGTGGCAGTGCTGCGAATCAACTCTCAGTCTCTCCCCTCTCTCCACTCTCCCCATCACTTCCATTCCTTTTATGTCCCCAGCACATTGCGTCACAGAGTCACACTCTCAGACTCCTCAGTGCATGCAGCAGTGGTGGTGGGGTGCGCTGAGGATAAGGACATGGCAGTGTTGCCGATTGACCTCTCTCCATTCATTTGCGTTCCTTGTATTGTTGCCCGTGTGACTGCAACCCACCCCACAGAGTGACCCTCTCAGACTCCTCGGTGCATGCAGCGGTGGTGGTGGGCTGTGATGAGGACAAGGACGTGGCAGTTCTGCGAATCGACGCCCCTCAGGAGTCGCTCCACCCGGTTACCATCGGATCGTCGTCAGATTTGATGGTCGGGCAACGGGTCTTCGCCATTGGTAACCCCGTGAGTCACACTCTTAACCCCCCCTCACTTACTCACTCCACCCTCCCCCCCTCTCTCTCCCCCACCTCATCTCTCCTGTTCTGCATGATCCTTGGTCCCGTACACCAGTCATTACCAAGAGGAGCAATAGATTCCAAGAATCTCACCCCGTTGTGCTTGGTCCTTGCTTGTGTGTCTTTTTCTTCACCGTTTGGGCTCGACCACACGCTCACATAAGGCGGCTCTTGAGACGGCTCAAAAGCCCTACAATCCCCCCACCCCTTTCCCTCCCCCTTCCCCCCTTGGCCCTTGCTTGTGTCTTGTTCCCCACAGTTTGGGCTCGACCACACTCTCACATCAGGCGTCATCAGGTCAGTGTAATGTAACTAACGAGTATCAGGTCCGTTTGTATAGGGACGCCCGCAAGCCTAGATTCTCGTCACTTGTTTTACCTTTAAGCTCCCGGAAGGCTATGCAACTGACATGCAATTTCCTTCTTCATCTTCTCCCTTCACAGCAGCCTTGAAACACTTTCTTTTATCCACTCTCTTTCTTCCTCATAATCAACCTTTCTCCTTCCCTTTCTCTCCTCCACCTCCTCCGGCCTCCCCATCCATCTCACCAGCGGTTTGAGGAGAGAGATCCAATCAGCAGCAACAGGGCGGCCAATACAGGGGGTGATACAAACGGATGCTGCTATAAATCCGGGCAACAGCGGTGGGCCTCTTTTGGACTCTAGTGGCAGTCTAATCGGCATCAATACGGCTATATATTCACCTTCGGGTGCTTCTTCTGGTGTCGGATTTGCCATTCCTGCCGACAGTGTGAGTCATGCTGACTGTGCCTATAGCGAGATGCGCTAGTCGAGAGTGCAGTCCTTCACATGGCTATAAAATCACCCTCCGGCTGGGATTTTTTTTTTACGACGCAAAAACTTACCTCCCATTGAAGAACAGTCATTCCCCTCCCCCCACCCTCACAACCGCCTCCCTCCCCTCGTGCTCTATTACCCCAACCCCGCAGATCAGCGGCATCGTGGAGCAGATAATAGAGAATGGGAGGGTGGTGCGGCCGGTGCTGGGGATCTCCTTTGCGCCCGAGGAGGCGGTGGAGAAGCTGGGCGTTGACGGGGTGCTCGTGCTCGATGCCCCGCCCTCGGGGCCTGCAGGCAAAGCTGTGAGTTCATGTGTACAGTGATTGTAGCTTACACTATATCACCTTTGGTCGCTGCTGGGCATCTCCTATGCGCCCAAGGAGGCGGTGAAGTTGGGCATCGACGGGGTGGTCGTGCTTGACGCCCCTCCCTCCGGGCCCGCAGGCAAAGCTGTGAGTCTGTGTGTACAGTGTAGGGTACTGCTCCAATCTCTTTTGTTTGCTGCGTTCATATAGTTATTCTGTTGTAAATACTATGTTCTGTGCTTGTTTTTGTCTCTTTGCTCAGGGTCTCCGGCCCACATCGAGAGACAACTACGGTCGGCTGGTATTGGGAGACATCATTACCGCTATTGACAACCATAAAGTGCGGAGCGGAACGGACCTCTATCGGGCACTTGATGATTGCCAAGTGGGAGACACAGTAAGTGCACATCCAGTCATCTACAAGGTGTTGTACGGTATTCATAGTGATTTTTTGCTAATGATTTGCAAACACATTGTGTGCAGGTTGCTGTTACAGTACTGAGGGGGGATAGTGAAGTGACAGTGAATGTAGTACTAGAGGCAAAGGACTAGTTGTCAGGTTGTGACAGGGTGGTGTTGCCTTATAAATATTAGTGCCATTAGCTAAAATCTAGCTGCTGAAGATAACTATAGGCAGTGGTACCGTATTTGTAATTTAATCACTGTACACCTACGAGAACTTTGCGGTGGTGCATTTCGTCTGGAACATGCTCAGCCGCATCTGTGGGTTTGCGACCAAGGTTCTAGGTTGAGGTGAGGGCTAGGCATAGCCTTGAATCGATATAAGCGCTGGTTGAGTGAAATACACACTGCAATTGTCCCCCCAGTGGCCGAGATATCGATACTGTCACATATTCGTCACTACTCTGGGAAAAGTTTTTCCACCGGCCTAGGATCAGCGCCCAGGAAGTGGCATTTCACCTCGCGTGTTCGGCGGCATCATCGTGCGTCTCCATAGACCAACGCGGCTCGAAATGCGGCGCTGCGTCCCTGAAATCCAAACCAAACTCTGCTGAATGCATAAATTCGACATTTCAGCCTCGAAAGAGACATTCCGCAGCACACAGCCATTTGTCGAGCAACTCGAACACCGAATCCATTCGCCAGCACACTCAAGTTTTCAGCTTTTCTACTCAAGCCAGAAAAGGGCCGCTATGGCTCAGAAAATCGCCATCTTCGTCATCACGTTGGCATGCCTCGCCGCAGTCGGTACGTCATCGAGCAAGATTTCTTTTTACGTGCATGCACTGTGAATGCATCAGAAAGCGATGCTGTGAAATATGTCATAACGCAGAAACTGACGCGTTCGTGAATGTGTTTGCAGGATTCGCGCGTCCGCCGGCGAGCGTTCGCGCCGGGCTTCAGAAGATCGAGAAGAATGACGTGTTCATGGGAGTGTATCAGGGATCGCTCTATGCTGAGCTGGACCACGTGGACGGCGCCGACAAGATGTCGGACGGCTATGCGTACATGGCGATCTACAAGTAAGATTTGATAAATATGTTTTTTAGAGATTTCCCTCATCCCAAGACAAAAAACAATCACAATCGCTTATTCAGAGTCATGTTTCTACATGGCCCATCGTAAAAGTTATTTTCATTTTCAAGATACTGATCCGTACTTATCGCGTTTCGAATGGCTTCCAGGAAGGGCGACGATTACAACATCCGATACGGCGCGGAGGCCGAATCCAAGGAGCCCGGGGAACCCACCGCGTTCACAATCAACAGCGCGGCCGACAACAGCCTTGTTATCGACCTGGGCGCCGGCCAGACATACAAGAACACCACGTACGAGCTCCGCGTGTTCAAGTTCCTGCAGAAGTTCGTCCCGTACTCGTACAGGTTCAAGGGCAAGTGGACCCCGGCCAGCAGTGTTACCGTCGCCGCTGGCCCGCTTAAGGACACCGTTGACGCCATGATTCAGAACCCTAAGAACTACTACACGATTTTCAACACGGCGACGAACCCTGCTGGTTGCGCCAAGGGCGCGTTTGATTTCATCCAGCCGTGGTGGAAGCGCCTGTAAGCACGGCCGGGGATCTGAAGAAGAGCTGTTGAGAAGATTTGTAGAGAGTGCAGGCATATGCAACGTCTTAGTTCACTCCCTTGGTGAACATTTCCCTCCATTTGCTGGGTTTTTCTTTTTTGTGGTGGATTGTTGTCTGAGTGGAAGTTGTAGCCTGATCATCTTATTTTGAATTTCCCATACTTTTACAAAGCTTCATCACACAAAACCATATAAAGGAAATAAGAATTTGGTGTTTGAATGCTGAACTCAGCTTAGGACAGGGAGTCCAATGTATTAGTGTTGTGGGCAAGGTCTAGCGGATCATGTTATACAGCCATATGTGATCTAATTCGTTAACCGCAATACGAAGCGGAGGATTGGAACTTGGAAGGTTATCCATAAAGGGTACTCTTGTGCTGATAGGACGAAGCAAGAAGATGGCAACAGGTGGTGCTGATTCAGGTCAATACACGTCATCGCCACCTGATTCCAACATTCGGGTTTCGGGATGTGGAATGGATGGAAAGCCAGAACTTCCACCATTTTATCAGGCATATTTTTATCGCGTAGTTCAGATTATAAACTCTATCGGTGTCTTAAGTTGATAAACGCTACGTGTCAACAATAAAATGGCATAGAAGAATAACCAATCTAGTAGAGATAACTTCAACTATACATGTTTGTGTTTTGTCTTTTTGGGTAGTGCATCTGGAGTTTCTCAAAGTTATTTTCATCCGGACAGATCAGCCCGAGAAGGGCAACAGGTTTCGGAATTTCTCGCCATCTCGATGACTGCAAGAGTCAAGCACAGCAGAACCACATTCCGTCGAACCAGGGAAATTCTGGAAGTGAGAAATTCCAGTCTCCAGATCCGAGGCAGATTCAGGAAGCCTGGAGAATTCTTAGCACTACACAAGATGCCCGTTTGACTAGCCCAAGGTTGCCTTGTAAAGAAAGCTCTTAAGTGATTCTTGCTTTTCGCTAAGTTTTCGTCAATTCGCACTTAGCAAAAAGGGCTTTTATTAGATTTTGTAACTCTTTGTTGACTGTTTGACGTTGGTCTCTTCTGTCAAACTTCGGTTTTTGTGGTTCGTATTGCTCGAGGTGCTTGTAAATGGGGTGCAACTGGCTTGCACCCTAATACACGGGTGCAGAGTTTCCATTGCGGGCAGGGCGAATTCGCGCGCAGGGGTTGGGCATCTTGTGTATTTCATCAGCCGTCTTCGTACTTGGCTTCACTGTCCCGTGCCACAGAGAACGAATTCAGAATCCGGAATCCGTTCCGTGGTGATTTCGCTTTGTGTTCTTCTTAGGCCCTATTTCGGAAGCTAGTCTACCCCTCTCGTCAAGATGGCGTCGGTGCTGCTGCCTACGTCCGTGAAGCCTAAAAAGTATGTGCTGCATCTGGAGCCGAATCTGGAGACCTTCAAGTTCAAGGGCATCGTGACCGTAGATTTGGACGTGGTTGAGCCGACGAATGAGATTCGGTTCCATGCGCAGGAGTTGGAGCTGCATAAGGTAGGCGAATAGCAACTGAACTGGTTTTGATGTCCTTACGGAAACGCGCAAGGTTCCGATAGTTACGTTATTATCTTCATTTTTAAGTCGTTGAAGTAAAGTTGAAAGTAAATATTTATTGACCTAATTCGTTTCAGTGTCAGAATGAAGACATAGGGTGAGCGGATTGACACTGAATCTGTTTCAGTGACTTTTAAAGAAGGCGTAGAGTGAGCAGGTTGTCACTGAATTTGTTTTTAATGTCCCAAAAAGAGGCATACGGTGAGCTGTTTGTCACTGATTCCGTTTCAATGTCTTAGGAAAAAGGCTACGGTGAGGGAATCGTCACTAAATTTGTTTCATTGTCTCAGAATTTGGATTTGGTTAGCGGATGGCCACTGAATTTGTTTCAATGTTTCAGAAATCATACGTTCGGAGCGGATTGTCGCTAAATCTGTTTCAGTGTCTCAGGAAGAAGACATACGGTGAGCGGATTGTGACTACCAGCGGATGGAATACCAGCGGTGTCTAACATGGAATTGCAGATGCTGTTCTGGGATGCTCTCTCACCCTGCCTGCTCGCCACAATCCCCTTCAGGTGGAACTAACAACAGGTGGCAAGCTCTTCACAGCAGGAGCGAATGGAGTGCCAGCAGTGGAGCTGGATGCGGAAAGGCAGGAAGGGAGGATTATCAGCTGTTGTATGCTCTTTCGCCCTGCCTCCTCCGCACTATTTCTTTTTCGTCAGGTGGAGCTGACAACAGGGGGCAAGCTTCTTACAGCAGGAGTGGATGGAGTGCCGGCGGTGGAGCTGGACAAGGAGAGGCAGGAAGGGAAGTTGGTGCTGGGGGAAGGGCAGACGCTGAGCACGGGGCCTGCGAAGCTCAGAATCGAATACACTGGCATTCACAACGACAACATGGTCGGCTTCTACCGTAAGTGCTGTTTTGGGTACATAGTGTGACGGCCAGAAACAGTAAGGAGAGGCAGGAAGGGAAGTTGGTGCTGGGGGAAGGGCAGACGCTGAGCACGGGGCCTGCGAAGCTCAGAATCGAATACACTGGCATTCACAACGACAACATGGTCGGCTTCTACCGTAAGTGCTGTTTTGGGTACATAGTGTGACGGCCAGAAACAGTAAGGAGAGGCAGGAAGGGAAGTTGGTGCTGGGGGAAGGGCAGACGTTGAGCACGGGGCCTGCGAAGCTCAGAATCGAATACACTGGCATTCACAACGACAACATGGTCGGCTTCTACCGTAAGTGCTGTTTTGGGTACATAGTGTGACGGCAGAAACATTAAGGAGAGGCAGGAAGGGAAGTTGGTGCTGGGGGAAGGGCAGACGCTGAGCACGGGGCCTGCGACGCTCAGAATCGAATATACTGGCATTCACAACGACAACATGGTCGGCTTCTACCGTAAGTGCTGTTTTGGGTACATAGTGTGACGGCCAGAAACAGTAAGGAGAGGCAGGAAGGGAAGTTGGTGCTGGGGGAAGGGCAGACGCTGAGCACGGGGCCTTCGACGCTCAGAATCGAATACACTGGCATTCACAACGACAACATGGTTGGCTTCTACCGTAAGTGCTGTTTTGGGTACATAGTGTGACGGCCAGAAACAGTAAGGAGAGGCAGGAAGGGAAGTTGGTGCTGGGGGAAGGGCAGACGCTGAGCACGGGGCCTGCGAAGCTCAGAATCGAATACACTGGCATTCACAACGACAACATGGTTGGCTTCTACCGTAAGTGCTGTTTTGGGTACATAGTGTGACGGCCAGAAACAGTAAGGAGAGGCAGGAGGAAGTTGGTGCTGGGGGAAGGGCAGACGTTGAGCACGGGGCCTGCGAAGCTCAGAATCGAATACACTGGCATTCACAACGACAACATGGTCGGCTTCTACCGTAAGTGCTGTTTTGGGTACATAGTGTGACGGCCAGAAACAGTAAGGAGAGGCAGGAAGGGAAGTTGGTGCTGGGGGAAGGGCAGACGCTGAGCACGGGGCCTGCAAAGCTCAGGATCGAATACACTGGCATTCACAATGACAACATGGTTGGCTTCTACCGTAAGTGCTGTTTTGGGTACATAGTGTGACGGCCAGAAACAGTAAGGAGAGGCAGGAAGGGAAGTTGGTGCTGGGGGAAAGGCAGACGCTGAGCACGGGGCCTGCGAAGCTCAGGATTTGAGTACACGGGTATCCACAACGACAACATGGTCGGCTTCTACCGTGAGTGTCGATCGGAGTAAGTAGGGGAGGAAGTTCAGTTGAAGTGCTTTCTGAAGCAGTGGATGGTGATCATTAGATTCGAACCAGTAGGAACGTGCCAATCCGTTTCTTGCTGAGAGAAGCTGATGAAAACAACCGTCCGCGCTCCCCATTTCCTTTCACTTTCCCCTTTCAGGTGCATCCTACACCCGAGACAGCCAGAAGAAGTGGATGGTAACCACGCAGTTCGAACCAGTAGGAGCGCGCCAAGCCTTGCCCTGCTGGGACGAGCCCGCTGCCAAAGCCACGTTTGAGGTGTCACTGCGCGTGCCGGCCGGGTTGCAAGGCTTGTCCAACATGGACGAGGTTGGGCGGGAGAAGCAGGCGGACGGGTCCGAGGTGGTTCGGTTCGCAGAGAGCCCGGTTATGAGCACATACCTGCTGGCGTTCGTGGTGGGGGAGGTGGAGTGTGTTTCTGACAAGACAAGCAATGGCACTTTGGTGAGAATGGGATAAAGGCGGGGATGAACGGTTGGATAGGGTGTGGTATGAGGGTGGCTCGATTAGCTGAGAACCCAGTTGTGAGCACGTACCTGCTGGTGTTCGTGGTGGGGGAGGTGGAGTGCGTTTCTGACAAGACGAGCAATGGCACTCTGGTGAGAATGGGAAAGCTTGTTGCGGCATGATTGCAGGGGGGGGTGTGGTTGTACAGGTGTGGTTCGGTTTGCAGAGAGCCCTGTGATGAGCACTTACCTGCTGGCATTCGTGGTGGGGGAGGTGGAGTGTGTGTCAGAAAAGACCAGCAATGGCACTCTGGCTAGAGTGGGAAGGGGATATGTAATTGCATGTAAGTGGAAAAGATATCATGGGTTTGTTTGCAATCAGTGGGATCTTGGTGACTGTATGTGAGTGGATTAGGAATCATGTGATAGTATGGGGTGTGATTGTATATGCATCTAAGCCCACATGTTCATGCTGTACTGTTCCTATGTTGGTTGGTGCGTCCAGGTGAACATCTACACGACGCCAGGGAGGAAGGAGCAAGGAAGGTTCGCCCTGTCAGTGGCGTGCAAGGTGATCACGTTCTTTGAGGACTACTTCGGAATCAAGTACCCTCTGCCCAAGGCCGACCTGATTGGTGAGTTTTCTCACTGACTCCCCGCCGTTCCTTACTTGACTCCCTTCTCCACATGCCATGTTTGTGTAGCCATCCCGGACTTCGCCATGGGAGCCATTTAGAACTGGGGCCTCATCACGTTCAGGGAGACGGCTCTCTCATGCGTTCCCACTCTCATCATTCCGTATGTGTTCGGCTCCTTTC